CTACTTGAGGTAAATGTTCAACTCATATGCCTGTATTTTGTTTGGCTGGAAACCACAGGTGTGGGTTCAATTCCAGACCTGAAGGGCAGGTAGGGGCCATAGTCTCAGTGGTTCTACCAGGCTCTATCGGACCAGCAAACCTGGTCACCCTGACCTTTGTTTTTTTTTTCCCCCTCCAAATGATTTTGAGTTTTGTTCCACATTGTTCTCGCTCTTTATCAAGGATCTCCTACATAGATCCCCTTCCAAGTGGATGACAGTGGTAGCCAGGCACCATCTAGTTCTTCTGGTCTCATAGTTGTATAGGCTGCAGATCGCATGGTGTACCAGTCCCTTGGACTAATTGTTTCCATGAATCTTTGGTTTTCTTCATTTTTCTTTGCTCTAGACAAGGAGAGACACATCGTTGCATCTACATAGCTGCTTGCAAGCTTTTAAGATCCCAGTCTCTAATCACCAAGGTAGGATGTGGAACAGTGTTTTGTGTAGTATGTTATGCCAGTTGAGCTTGATGTCCCCTGCGACTATGGTCTCAAGTCCACAGGTCCAACTACTTGCTCCCTCTGGGTAGCTGGCTGTGGCTTTGGCCAAGAAGTGACTACAGCCTTGTCCCTTGTCAGCTCTAGTATATACCTAGAAGTTCTTATAGAACATACACATATACTTGTAGAAACATTGTCTGCCTACCCTGTACATGGTCTTGGACACACTCCCTCCTGCATAGACATACCTAATAGTTAAGCCTGTCCACCCATCTATCCATCTGTATATCCATGTTTGCCTTCACTGACAACACAGTACTGTATGTGCAAAAGGGTTCATTGTTGTCTGTCCTTCACATGCACCTCTCTGTGTCTTCCTCTTCCTCAATGCCACTTTTGATCACTCACATTTGGTACTTTGCCCTTCTCTTCACCCAAATCAATACTTGTCTCTACCTATCTAACAGGAGCTCTGGTAGCATAGTGCCTAAGGCACTTGACTGGTAACCAGAAGGCTGGTGGTTCGAATCCCCCAGCCACTCCTCGGAAAGAAGGTTGGGCAAACTACTTCCATAGTGATACTGCCTTGGAAATCCAAGGAGTGGTCACTATGAGTCAGGTCTGAGTCGAAGGCACATAACAACAACAACAGCCTATTTAACAGTGTTCCCTCCCTTCCTCTCACACCCCTTGTAACCAATGAAGAAAATTTCCTTCCATGTATAAATCATTCCTTGACAATAATGGTCTAATACAATATTTTTCCTCCTGTGATTGTTTGTCTTTACTTTTGGTAAATTTGATTTTGCTATGTCTTGGTGATTTTCTTTTGAGGTCTATCATGTTTCAGGTTGTTGGACTTCTTGAATCTTCTTGAATGGATATCTTCTCATCTTTCATCATATTAGGGAAGGTCTCATCAAACAAATCTTGAACAATCTTCCCTTTCATTTTGTTTGTCTCTTCCCATTCTGGAATTCCAGTCACATCTAAGTTTTTCATCTTGATGGTCTGCCACATAAATCTTAGGCTATCTTCATTTTGTTTTGTTCTTTTGTTGATTGTTCCCTTTAAGCAGTATTGAGAGATTTGTCTTCATTCTCACTGTGGCAGTTAAATTTGTGTGTCAACTTGGCTGGGCCTGGTTGAGTGACTGGGCAGCTGTTGGTAGTATTCCCCATGATGAGACTGATAATCAACTGCATGGTGGAATCTACTGTGAGCAGCTGAGTAGCTGCCTTTTGGTATATGGTCTGCTTCCTGTATATAAGAAACAGCTTTGGGAATGGTCTCTAGCTTATGGCACACTTGAACCCTGCATGTAGCCATGTCCTTGTTCAGCAGCCTGCCATGCTTGGGACTTTCAATGGACTTGAATTAATGGCCTGCCCTGTGGTTTGGTGACATCGGGATTGTGCCAATTTATTTGTCGACATTGGGCTTGTTAGCCTCAGCAGCTAGTAGCTGCCTGAGTGAAGAGATGCCTCTAGCTTCAGTGGGCCGGGAGCAAGAGGCAGAACTGAAGCCCAAGGTTGAGGGGCTTTCTTACAGTGCCTAGAGCCTGGCACTTGGAACTCGGACTTCTAGCATCCTGAACTGTAAGAGAATAAACTCCTGATTGTTCATCCCATCCCATTTGTGGTATATTACTGTCAGAGTGGCACTAGGTAAACAACACTCACTAATTCTTTCTTTCAGTGATTTGATTCTACTTCTTTACCCATTTAATGTGTTACCTGTTTGTGAAATCTTAGTATTAGTTCTCTGGATTTCTATTGCTGTTTTTGTATTGTTTCTTATATTTCATTTATTTTGTTAGTTTATTCTTGTGTTGTTTTCCTAAATTCTTTTAGAATTTTGACTGTATTTTCCTTAATTTTGTTAGTGTTCTCCTTGATTTTGTCAATGTTTTCCTTGATCTGTCTCTCAATCCATTGAAGGTACCTTCATATAATTCTTTTAAATTCCTTATCAGATAGTTCCAATGTCACTTCTTCCTCAGGTAAGTTTTCTGGCTCTGTATTCTGGTCCATTGTTTGTACTACTTTACTTTTCTTCTTTGTGTGAACTGGGATTGTCAGTTGTCTTCGACACATTGTGTTTTTGCTATATTTTTATATTTAGTTGTTGATTGTATGTTGGTGTGATTTGCCCAGGATTTTTTTTTTTTTTCCCTTATTTTCTTTTGATATATGTGAGGAAGTGGAGTGGGTGTGGTACTCAGTGTTTAGGTACTCACCATCTGTTGCCTGGTGGTTGTGGATGAGAATGTGTGCACAGGTCTCTGTTTAGCTGCTTATGTAGAGCACTAGGTGGGTTGGGCTGGTATTGACCATTGTCTATTGATCAGTTTGTACAGAAGCATATAATGGTCTTCACCCAGTAATTGGAGCTGCAGGAGGTATAGATGTGGTTGGGTTGTACTAGCATGGTTCCTGTGTTCCACCAGGTGAGACAAAACACACACACACACAAATAACAACAAGAACAAAAACCACAAACAGCATAAACAAACAACAACAGCTACAAATACAAAAATAATAAATTAAAAGAAGGAAAAAAAGACCAAAGAAGGACAAAGAAGAGAGAGCAAGAAACAAAACATGTGGGAAGGAGATAAAAAGAGAAGAGAGCAAGAGGAAAACACAGTAAAGAAAATGCAAAAAGAAAACAAGGAGTGGGAAAAAATAAGAAAAGAAAGAAAAAAAGAAGGGGACCAGGAAAACAGAAAGCAAGCAAACAAAAAGAACCAGGGAAGTAAAAGAGGAAAACAAAAAAAAAAGAAGAAGAATGAAAGGAAAAAAAAAATTAATTATAGTAAATAAATAAATAAAATAAGAGCTTGGCACCTGAGCTGTATTCCTGCTGGCTAAGCAAGCATCAGAGAGCAGGGTACCTGGCCCTGGTAGTAGTTCCTGCGTACCCAGTATTCAACTGGGATTGGGCGCTTGGTCCCAGACAAGTTCCTGCTAAACCTGAAAAAAGTTCCTGCCGGCCCAGATGGTCATGGGAGCAAAATGCCTGATTCCACCAGGAATTCCTGAAAGACCAAAAAGCAGCCAGTACAGGTGTCTTGTCTCAGAAAAAGTTCCTGTTGTCTCAGAAGGCAGTTGAGCATAGAGCCACTGCTTCTAGAAAAAGTTCCTGCTGTCCCAAAAGGGGGTTTTGTGTAAGCCAGTTGAGAGCAAGGCAGCTGATCTCAGAACTTATTCTTGTCTACCGAGGGGCAACTGGGGGCAAGGTGCCCAGACCCATAAAAAATTTTTGCTGATCACAAAGGTGGTTGGTTATGAGCAAGGCACCTCATTCTAGAAAGTATTCCTGGTGGCTCAAAAAGTGTCTGTGGGCAGGGTATCTGGTTTGACACAAAATTCCTACTGTCTCAAAAGGTTACTGAAGGCAGGGCCACATTCCCAGAGAAAGTTCCTGCTGTTTCAAAAACTGGCTGGGTATAGGGTACCTGTTCTGAGAAAAAGTTCCTACTGGCTCCAAAGGTGGCTGAGACTAGGGCGTATAGTCCTGTGACCACTTCCTTCCTGCCCTGAAGTCAGCTGGTGGTTACTGGTCTGGGATGGAATTCCTGCTGGTCCAGAAGGTGAGTTGGGATGGGGGATGGCGACACTTCCGTTAACTGGGTACAAGGGGAATATCACAACTTTCTGGTCATCAGCCACCAGTGTGGTGTCCTCAGCAAATGGAGCTGATTATCAAGTTGCTGCCTGAATTGGAATTCCACTTAAAAATATTCAGAATGGCTATGCAATCAGGCCAGCTGACATTCCACAACTGTGTCTCCTTATTCACTATTTTTATTCAATTGCTTCTAGTAGTCGGTATATAATTCACATCTTTATTCTTCCCTTCAAAGCTCAGAGTTTCAGGATTATTTTTTGTATCTGTTTCAATTGGTTTCTCATTTCTTTATTGTAAAGGGTCTGTGTAGCTTGTCTGCCTATTCTGCCATCTTGCCAGAAGTCCTTAGTGAATTGATATAACACTGGATTTTAACACTGGGTTTTCAGTCTTGAGAAAGTTGATTCTGACTTTTGTTTCAAGGACCCCTGGTGGCACAGTGGTTAAGAGCTTGACTGTTAACTGAAAGGTTGGTGGTAAAAACCCACCAGTTGTTGTGTAGGATAAAGTTGTTCAGTTTGTGCTACTTTACTTTTCTTCTTTGTGTGAACTGGGGTTGTCAGTTGTCTTTGACACATTGTGTTGTTGCTATATTTTTATATTTAGTTGTTGATTATATGTTGGTGTGATTTGCCCAGGATTTTTTTTTTTTTTTTTTGCCCTTATTTTCTTTTGATATATGTGAAGGAGTGGAGTGGGTATGGTACTCAGTGAGTCTGCCTTGGGAACCTTGTGGAACAGTTCTACTCTGTCTTATAAGGTGGTACGAGTCAAAATCAACTCAATAGCAACAGGTTTTTGCACTTTTAAGTTCACGACATTTAAATATCTTTCAAAGGAAAATACCAAGTGATACTAAAATATTATCTCTGTTTGCATTTGCAGCTGGGGCTGGACTTAGAGGAACTAGAAGAAATAGAAGAGGATGCAGGCCTTGGTAATGGAGGCCTGGGAAGGCTGGCAGGTAATTACAGGCGCTAGTACAGGGAAAGAATGGTCCTCAGTGGATGGCTTGGCTGGTTAAGGGCTTGACTGTTAACTGAAAGGTTGGTGGTAAAAACCGACTAGTTGTTCTGTAGGTTGAAGATGTGAGTCTGCCTTGGAAACCTTGTGGAACAGTCCTACTCTGTCTTATAAGAGGGGTATGAGTCAAAAGCAACTCAACAGCAACAGGTTTTTGAACTTTTAAGTTCACAACATTTAGATACCTTTCAAAGGAAAATATTAAGTGATACTAAAATATTATCTCTGTTTGCATTTGCAAACATGGCAATATCAGGGGTGTTCCAGATGCTTAGCTCTGGGGTACATTGGCTCTTCCCAGAGTGGATGGGAGTGTTTCTCATATTGAAATGTTTGCCACTAGTGAAAACATGAAAGCAAAATACATATTCTCTGTTATACAAAGTACAATTCATAATTATCATTGAGATCAAGCTTGTCAAGCGAGGAGGGGTTCCAAATATGTCAACCACTTTCAGGGATCTAAAAGACAGTACTGTAAAACTTGCAAAAGCAGACAATTATGTAAGACAGGAATATGTCAGAAAAGGAAAACTCAAGTATTTTCCATGAAAACGAGCAATAGGAAAGTGGTAAGACTGCACTCTGTCAAAGGCAGAAATTTCACGAGACCCAGAAAAGCAAGACAGTCCCATCAAGTTCCAATTCTCACAGGTTTCAATGTAATTGAGAAGAAGGTAGATAGAAACACACACACACACACACACACACAATGCATAGTCACACCCATACCCCACATAATCCACACCACATACACATACCATATACACACTCATAGAGTCCACACTACACATATACATACACTACTTCACAACACACACATCACCACCACATAACCCACACTGCACACACCACATACCACACACATTGTACACATATATATATACCATACTAAACACACTACCACATAATCCATACCACACACCATACTACATACACTACTCACACACTACATATACACTACACACACCTTACACTATACCACATATATACTACACACACAGCCCACATGTACCACCACACACACCATATCTACCTCTCTCACAGGCAAACCATACTACACATACACATACACACTTTGTGAATACTTCCCAGCTCACAGCAAGCTTCCTATAAGAAACAGGTTGTCCTGAAATAGCAGAACTGTTCCAACTGGAGATAATCCTTCTGAACCTCTCTATTTGAAATATGGGGGGAGTTCACTTCCTTTTCATGAAACCTGAAGCTGACTGTAGTGACTACTGAATCTGTCCCTCTGTAGAGCAGATACCTGTATTAACATCTGGGCCTAGATCCTGCTGATTGTCTTTAATCTCAGCAGGCTCTTTGCCTTTGAATTTCCAGCCTGTTTCCTTGATTCCATGGCTACCCTGGGACTGGCAGCATATGGCTATGGAATCCGCTATGAGTTTGGGATTTTTAACCAGAAGATTGTCAATGGCTGGCAGGTGGGTGAGATTTTATTTCTTACTACTCCCTAGCTCCTACTCCCACAAGAAAACGAACAGGAACACTTTCAGTTTGGCCTTTTATGCTCTAAGCTCCTTCCTGGAGTGAGTATGTGCCAGTTACAGGCAACATGGAGGTAGGCCAGGGTCACACTGGCCCTATCTACTACACAAGTTTACCATACTTAACCTTTTGTTGGTGCTGCATGAAACTGTCAGTCTCTGGTCTGCTGTGTGAGTTCATTCCATGTGGTGTCTGGTAGGTCTGGTTGAGGATAGGATTAAGGAGAAGATCACCAGATGACTCCTTGCCACCATGTGGTGAGGTATCTCCTAGATACATGCTGGTGTTCCTGTGGGCCTGAATATGAAAAGAAGAGCAGTGCTTTGGGAGTTCACCATCTGTGGGGCAATTAACTTTTGAGAAGTTAGTTAGGAAAATGGTTATTGTAGATCTTGGATACTATTGGGTAGTTTAGAAAATAAACTACTGAGAAGGCCTAACAGAAGAGCAATGTGTGGTGGGTGAATGGGCAGCTCCTGGTGAGGGGATCAGGCCTCTCAGGCAGTCACAAAGTTGGAGGGATCATTTTGGGATTAGTTGTTTTTCACTGATAGGTCTTGACCACCTTATTTAGCTGTAGTTTGTTGCTAATAAAAACAAAACATGCTTTTCCAAAGGGCCAACTTGCCTTGCTGTCTGGCTCCTTATCCTATGGGGCCCCATCACCTCATTGGCATCAGGGAGTAGAGGCAAAATGTGGGCCCCAAATGATTCTTTTTTAATATAAGCTTTATTGATATAATTCACATACCATAAAATTCATCTCTTTAAAGTATGTAAATTTCATACTTTCAGTGTTTTTTAAAATATTCACAAGGTTGTACAGTCATCACTGTCTAATTCCAGAACATTTTTGTTACCCAAAAAGGAACCCTGTACTCATTTGCAGTCATATACCAGCCCCTGGCAACCACTACTGTGTGTTCTATGTCTTTGGACTTGCCTGTTCTAGACATTTCATACGAACAGTATCAGGAAGCATGGGGTCCTCTGTGACCAACTTCTTTTCTTGAGTGTTATGTTATCCAGGTTTATCCATGTTGTAGCATATATTAATACTTCCATCCTATTTATTGCCAAATTCAGGTGATTTTTCATGTCTTTTCAATGTAATACATTTTTCTGAATTTTACATGAGCTTGCTATTTTAATAGACCAGAATGTTATTTGCTTTCAATAGGCTTTAATTCTGTTTCAGTGTTGTTTGTAGTGTGGCCCCTGCCTTGATGCAGTCCATACAAGGACAAGTTGTGGGCTGACCCCAGAGGCTGCTCCCTTATCCAGGTCCCTCTCCTTCCTCCTCTAATGGTGGCCCCTTCTAGGTTGAAGAAGCTGATGACTGGCTGCGCTATGGCAACCCTTGGGAAAAAGCACGCCCTGAATACATGCTTCCTGTGCACTTTTATGGGAGAGTAGAGCACATGTCAGATGGAGTCAAGTGGCTGGACACACAGGTATTGAAACAAGAGTTCCTGAGTAGAAATATTGGCACCTGAGCAAGGGACACTCCATGCTTCATTTCTGGTTGATTGATTTCTTTTTGTGAGTGAGGAGATGCTTCTCTGGAGGACTAAACTCCAGGTAGCAGCATAGAAGAGGTTCTACCTCTCTACATTCCCATTTTCCTACACTTCCAAGGGAAACTTTCCAGAGGGGATGTGCAGAGCCAGGCAGAGAGAGTGTCCCCCTGAGGTTACATGCTCTGCCACTTAGCAAGGCTGTGTGTTGGGGTTGAGCCAAGCAGCCATGTGTGTTATTTGCTGCCTACTGGACATACCTCTATGTCCATGTTGTTGAATAGCAAGCAAAGTCATGTTCTCAGAGGTCTAAGGGTGGATACAACGTCTCCCCAGCGCTCACATGTGCTCTTTCTGTGTGGTCTGTGTGGCCCCCTACATTCAGTGACCTACTACAGTCATGCAGACTGAATGCTTTGAGCTCTGGGTGTGTGAGGGGCCCAGGTTGGTGCCCAGAATGGGGAGCAGGCCATCGTTCCCAGCCTAGAGTCCTGTGGTGGAGCAGGGTGGAAGATGGTAGTGGAAGTTGCAAGGGTGCAGATGCAGGAGAGGCCTGTTCAGTCCCAGAGCTGGAAGAGAGCACTTCCTGGTGGTTTCAGGGGTAGGGGACAGGAACAGCAATGTGAATGGGGATATTTGTGATGCATTTAAGCATCATTAGGACTCAGATATATGTGATGCAGGTAGGATGAGTGAAGTCAGGGCATGAGGCTGCTAGACTGTGGAAGTTGCATACATACGGAAGTGGTGGCCTTGTTTTTCTGGAATATGCGCTTTAACCAGAGTGCATGAGTCCAGGGCTGGCTGGAGCCATGAAATGGAGGTCTAAGTTGCTATGATAAGTTGTATTTCATTCGAAAAAGCAGAGAAAGTGACCTACGTTTTTGAGTGTGTGTGCTTGTAGAAGATGGCATGTCAGTGTTTGTGTGAGAGGGCAGGAGAAGGGAGGGCTGGAGGCTGGGGAGCTGATGGTACAGGACATGATGAGGCCTTCAACTCAGAGGGGTGATTGGGTAGGAGTGGAGGCATTGGCTTTGAGATATTTGCAGAGGACTTGTCATATGAGGGAGTAGAGAAGAGTTGGGCAGAGACAGCCAGGGAAAGATGATCCTCGACTTTTGGTCCTGGAAGCAACACTACAGATTTCTTTATAATTTCAGAATTGACATAGTTTCAAAGCCCACAGTTGTATTTATACGAACTACCATAAACATACATGGTGTAAATATGCCCCTAGGAGAATCCAGGGACTAGGTATGGTTTTGAGATTTTACCCTTCTCTTCCTGTGCCGATGTTCTTGACAGGTAAGAATGGGTGGCATCATGGAGACAGTGTGGTAGGCCCTGCTGATAGGGAACTAGCCCTGTGTTTTTTCTTGGGAATGAAGTGTGAGTAGTTGGTTTGGAGAATGCTGAGTTTTAGGGTCAAGGTGTCCACAGGATGAACATTTCCAGTAGACTTTGGAAATGTAGGTCAGAAAGAGAAGCCATCTACTGGAGAAGTTAATCAAGTCCTGAAATTGCTAAAGCTGAGTGTTGAGTGAGAAGAGAGAAAGCTTATGACCAACTTTGGGGACCACTTTTTTTTGGGAGGGCAAAGGACAAGGAGACTGGAACAGTGGTTGATGAGGTAGAGGGGAGCTGAGTGAATGCAACTCCAGACACTGAGAGAGAGGAAGGCAGGAGGTGTCTGTGATGTACATAGTGTAGAAGGTAATGCTCGAAAAGGTGAGTGTGGCTAGACTTTTAATTTGCTTGTGGCATTGGACAGACCTAGGCTCAGGCTACCTGATGGTGGGAGCCTGGACTGCACCCCAGGTTGTGGTATAGGGGAACTCAGCTGGCTTGTTTTGGTTAGGGGCAGATCATGTGCACTTCCAGCCATTAGAGGGCAAGAAGTTAGGCCTGACTGGGAAGTGAAAACATCTACATCAGTGGCAGGCACTGATGCCTGCCCATGGGGGCATTTTTGATGTGGAAGACAAGACCCTGGGTGTCTCCTGTGCAGGTGGTGCTGGCCATGCCCTACGATACACCGGTGCCAGGCTACAGGAACAACACTGTGAATACTATGCGGCTGTGGTCTGCCAAGGCGCCGAACGACTTCAAGCTCCATGACTGTACGTGCCTTCCCCCACCCCAAATCTGTCTGTCCCCACCTGTGTAGCTCACGCTGTGGGCTGGGTTCTGGACGCAGCACACTTTTCTCAGGGGTGCTTGGATCCCCAAGGAGAACACTAGTGGGCACCCTAGCCCAGCTGGGCTCCGAGCTGGTGAGGCTGGTGCTTGGTGAGCACCCAGAAAAGGCCAGGTCAGGGTCTGAGACCAGGTACAGCTTGCTCATTTCCACCACTTGCCCTGAGAAAGAAAGGAACCTGGAGCCATGTAGGTGGGGGCACTGTGTACAGTGTGGAGGCCTGTCCTTATAGCCACTAGAAAGGAAGGACAGGTGCCCCCTGAGGAGTAGGCAGTGAGATGAAGCAGAGCGGTTGTTGGGGGAGAGGGTTTTACTTGACTGGAGGTGTTCTATTCAGGAATGTGTGCTCTTAACACTTTTCACGTAAATTACTAGGAAGTATGTTTCTAAGGCTACATGGGGGTTGCTGGAAGGTGCTCCTGCACACTTATCCCACCTCTGTTTCTATCTAGTTAATGTGGGGGACTATATCGAGGCTGTCCTGGATCGGAACTTGGCTGAGAACATTTCCAGAGTTCTCTACCCAAACGACAATGTGAGTAGCAGGTGTGGTTAGCTCCTCTCTGCACTGTACCTCCTCCATGTGTGGGATAGTGAACCAGAGGCTAGACCCCTGAGCAGAACCTGTTTACTGAACTTAAGTTGGGAGGTGGGATGTTGAAGTAGCCATCGGTAGTCCTCTGTTGACATTTGTGAGCATGTTCACACTCTATGGGAGCAAAGACAGTGACACTTCATGGAGAAGTATGCCTGTTAGTCCCTCTTTTGCCCTCCCACTCCCTCAGAAGAAGTTGTCAGGGAGTTCTTTGCCTCCTTTCACATGTCTAAATATCCTCTGTAAACACAGTGGCTCCTAGGAGCTTGATTGGAGAAGGTCAAGGTTTAAGCTGACCACATGCCTCAGCATGGTGGGGCACAGTGGAGCCAAGATGGGGAGAGGAAGGTGTGGGCATAGGGTGTGGGAATAGGCACAGGGATAGGTAGTAGGAGATATGGAATACAGAGATAGGGTATAGGGGTGGGGCAAGGGAAGGGAGTTGTGGAAACGGTGCAGTGATGGGGTGCAGGGACCTAGGACATGGGGACATGCAGTGTAGGGATGGGATGTGAGGATGAGATTGGGGAGAGAGGTGTGGGGACAGAGTACAGAGATGGGCCTGGTAATGGGGCATAGGGACTGGGTGTGGGGATAGAGCAGGGAGAGGGGGTATGGGGACAGTGTGGGAGGATGGGGAGAGACATGGAGTGCAGGGATGGGATGAGGTGGGGAGAGGGGACATAAGGACAGTGTGCAGAAATAGGGTGCAGGGGACCGGGATATGGGATACTAGGCACGGAGGACGGGCCCAGGCCTACTGCTGCCATTTCTAGTCACACAATGCAGTTTTTCCCAGAGTTAACTTGGCAGCCATTGTGCGGTTGAGCTATTTTATGTTGGTGCTCAGAGACACACAGCTGTCTCAGCTTTCCATTACCTAACGTTAGTGCCTGGCAGCACTAGATGGTTGTGGCAGCCACAGTCTCTGCCAAAGCTAAACACGTGTCTGGTCTCTTTTTTTGTTTGTTTGTTGTTGTTATCACTAGACAAGAGCCCATAGAGTTTGCCTGCCCTAGTGGGTTGTGTGTGTTTTAAATTTACCTTTCTGCTCTATTATAGTTATGTGTGCACATAGTGGCAAAGAGCATTGGTACTGAAAGGCTGATAATAAAACATACCAAGTCCTCTCTACCTTCCATAAGAGCTTAAGCAGATTCTTAGTTTTAAAGGGCAAAGTACATTTATCTTTAACACCTATGCTTCTAGACTAGCAGTTTCTGAGTGACTGGCATCAGTTATGCCTGGGCATTCTCATTGTTTATGCACTGCATGTTCCATGCCCAGTGGCTGCAAATGGGCAGTGTGAGCTAGGCCACTGCCCATTCTCTCTGTGTGTCTGAGGCCAAATGGTGCACGTGGGCACAGGCCAATCACCACCTTCTGCCTAGAGCCAGACCTCAGGCCTCCTGAGAAAAGGGCATGGGCCCTGACTTTAGTCCTCAGTGAGGTAGGGGAGCCTTGGTGCTGTGTTGGGCTTTACAGGCATTTCCTGCTGTTATCCACATAAATGTCTCGGGGCCCTTGAGGCAGATCCCTCCCAGCCTTGTGTCCCTCCCCATGGTGGGTGAGTCTCCTGATGTGAGGCAGCATGTAGGGAGCCTATGTATGCAGGGTGACCGAGCACCCATGTCTGCAGTTCTTCGAGGGCAAGGAGCTGCGCCTGAAGCAAGAGTACTTTGTGGTGGCTGCCACTCTGCAGGACATCATCCGCCGCTTCAAGTCTTCCAAGTTTGGCTGCCGGGACCCCGTGAGGACCAACTTCGAGACATTTCCAGACAAGGTGTGTGCATACATAATGACGGAGCATGGGGCCATCACAGGGTGTGTGTGTAGCATGTTCCCTCTCAAGATGGGCGTGGCAGGGGGAGGGAGGTGACACGATAGCACCTTTGCTGTGGCTTCTCCTTCCCCATCATGGGACCACACCTGCCTTCCTCCCTTCCCAGGCAGGACAGGCAATGTGGAGGGGAGTGGGCAGTGAGGAGAGGAACAGGTAAAATGTCCTGTGGATAGAGCAGGTTCTGCATAAAAAAAAAAAAAAAAAAAAAACCTTACTGTTGTCAAGTTGCATCCAACTCATAGCTACCCCTCCTTGGGTTTCTGAGGCAGTATCACTATGGAAGCAGCCTGCCCCATCTTCCTTCTGAGGAGTGGTGGTGGGTTTGAACCACCAACCTTCTGGTTAGCATTCACATGCCTTAGGCACTATGCTACCAGAGGTTCTGCATTTGTTGTTGTTGTTGTTGTTATGTGCCGTCGAGTCGGCCCCGACTCATAGCGACCCCTCCTTGGGTTTCCGAGGCAGTATCACTACGGAAGTAGGATTGCCCAACCTTCCTTCCGAGGAGTGGCTGGTGGGCTTGAACCGCCAGCCGTCTGGTTAGCAGGCAAGTGTCTTAGCCACTATGCTACCAGAGCTCCTGAGGTTCTGCATAGGCCATTATAAAATGAAGACTCCATATCCTAGTGGAAAGGAACACTCAGTCAGGGATGAATGACTGTTGCCAGAGAGCCCTCCACAGGGGAGGAGAGGAGCCAGCAAAGGCCTTCCCAGCACTCCTGCCCACTGGCCCTGGCTGTCCCCTCACCCCATCCCTTGAGACTCTTGCAGCTTCTGCTTCTGGGAAGTCTTTTTCAGTGTCTTTGCTATCATCGCCAATTCCTGGCAGTGTTGTTACAGCTCATCCATACACCTGCAAAGAAGGGTGCTGCCCTTCTAACCTTGGCACCCCCAGCTTGTACTCACTGCCCCCACCAGCGGGTGCTGAGGGAAGGCCTTCTTGTCAATTCCAGGTGGCCATCCAGCTGAATGACACCCACCCAGCCCTCTCTATCCCAGAACTCATGCGAATCCTGGTGGATGTGGAGAAGGTGGACTGGGACAAAGTAAGTGCTAAAGAGAAGGGCACATAGGACTGATAGTGTTCTTTGCAGACCTGGACATGTCAGGGGGTCATGGTGTTCTCTGTACACCTGGGCATGTGTGTGGGGTAACAGTGTTCTCTGCAGACCTGGATGTGTGTGTCAGGGGTAACACTGTTCTCTGCAGACCTGGAAATTTGTGAAGTCAGTCTTCTCTACAGACTTGGATGTGTATGTAAGATGACACAATTCTCTGCAGTCCATTGAGCCTATCCAAATAACAATTATGAATGGCTCACCTTATCTTTGGAAACTGAGATAAGTATGTCCCTGTAACCATAGGAGAAATAGATGGAAATTGCCTCTGGAAACAAGAGTGGCAGGCAAAGAAGGTCATTCAGAGAGCTTCTAGTCTTTCTCCTTTGTGTCAGGAGACATTTAGTAAGAACAGGTATGAGGAGGGAGAAGAGTGATTGTTTGAAGGCAAGGAAAGGGTTCTGACACTTCTTTGGGCTTCTCACGTATGAGTCTCATCTTAGTATTCATGATAAAAAGCAGACAGTATTAAGTTTCAAATAAACGCATATTTTATATATTTATAAGTTTGTTCTCATGGCTCAGCTCATTTTGGTCCTACGTTTTTTAATATAGTGAGATTGTCTCAACCCAGCTTTAGCTAAATCCATTTGTAAACCCATAATTATTTTACCCTGTTGCAGAAAACCAGGCCTTTCAGGTTTCTGGGAGTGTACTACTTGAGTGAGGCTGCCTCAAGGTAGGTGGCACCATGCAAGTCTCTTCTCCTGGCCAATGACCAGCAAAGGGTAGGGTGCATGGGAAACCCCTTGTTCTCCTGTAGTAATGACTGTAGGCTGCAAAGGCAAGCTAGTGGAAGTAGAAAGCAGCGGAGTGATCTGTTTTGTTTACCCACAAAAAATGATTTGAAAAGGAAAATTTAAAAAGTGCTTCCCAGGTAGTAAGGGTGAGCGTTTTTGGTAGGTTTGTACATGCATATGTATTGAATCACGATGTAAACTTGCTTCTTTATATGGCCATGTCAGAGGGCGAAGAACAGTGGATTCATGGTTGATTTGGGCAGCCCTAGATGAGCCCTGGGAATGAGCATAGGAATACGTGGCATCTTTCTTGGAGTCTGAACATTGATCACCAGACCTTCGTCTTGCCTAGGCTTTTTAGCAACAGAGCTACTTATTTCTAAATAGAACACAATGGAATACTCTTTGGAAAAAATGTTTTTAATTATTTTTTTTTGTACTTAAATAACTTTTTTAAAAAAATTTTAAATCAACTTTAACTTTGTTGTATTGGATGCTGTTGAGTTGTTTCTAACTCATTGTGACCCCGTGTGACAGAGTAGAACTGCCCTGTAGGATTTTCTTGGCTATAATGTTTATGGAAGCAGATTATCTGATCTTTCTCCTGTGGAGTGCCTGGGTAGTTTCAAACTTTCAGTCTTTGGGTTAGCAGCTGAGCACTTAACTGTTACACCACCAGGCCTCCTTTAAGTGGTCCTTTTGTTTATTCCAGGCCTGGGAAATTACCAAGAAGACCTGTGCATATACCAACCACACAGTGCTGCCTGAGGCCTTGGAGCGGTGGCCTGTGTCCATGTTTGAGAAGCTGTTGCCACGGCACTTGGATATCATCTATGCCATCAACCAGAGGCACCTGGACGTGAGCATCTGCCCATTCTCTGGGGCCTTGCCAAGGCCTTCCTTGTCCCCCATGGTGACCTGTGAGAGGAGAAGCCCATGTCCTCTAGAGTATGGAATGGGAAGGTGGTGTTGTCACTCTACAGCAATGTGGTCTGGTTTCCCTGTGGAGACCCCGTATTTGAGGGTTTGTGTATTCAGCCCCTTTTAAAATGTCATCATCCTTGAGCAAGAGTTAGGTGTAAGTGTGCTTTTCTGGAAAATCTGAAGACCTCCATCCATGGACATCATAGTGGCATTTGGGTGCTTGAGAAACAAAGCACTCTGTTTTTTCTCTGTGCTCCACACAGAGGGTAGTGGTATAAGAATGGAGAGGACTGAGAATTCAGATATAATTATAGTTCACTTTTTTTTGTTTAAATTTTTATTGTGATTTGGATGAAAGTTTACAGAGCAAATTCATTTTCCTTACAGCAGTTCACATATTGACTGTAATCTCCCACAATGCAACATCTCTCTTCCCAATTCCTTCCCATAGCTACCTCTTTTCTGAGTCTTTCCCTCCTATGCACTCCTGCTCCCTGAGCTGTCTCCCTGTGCATACACACCCCTCCTATACTCCCATGATTGATCTTTCCAAGGGGTGTATCTATCTAATGTAAATATTCAGCTTAAATGCCTGTCTTTTGTTTGGTTGTAAGTCACAAAAGTGGGTTCAATTCCAGACCTGAATGTAGCTAGGGGCCATAGTGTCAGTGGTTCCACCAGGCTCTATCAGAGCAGCAAACCTGGTCCCTTTTTTGTTTTTTATGATTTTGAGTGTTGTTCCACATTGTTCTCCCATTCTATCCAAGATTTCCTACATAGATTCCCCTCCAAGTGGTTGACAGTTGTAGCTGGGCACCATCTAGTTCTTCTGGTCTCATAGTCATATAGGCTGAGGATCACTTGGTGATCCTCAGTCCCTTAGACTAATTGTTTCCATGTGTCTTTGGTTTTCTTCATTCTTCTTTGCTTTGGATGAGGAAAGACCCATCGTTGGCATCTAGATGGCCACTTGCAAGCTTTTAAGATCCCAGTCACTACATGCCAAAGTAGGATGTGTAACAACGTTTTCATGTAGCGTGTTATGCCAGTTGTGCTTGATGTCCCCTGCAACCATGGTCCCAAGCCCACAAGTCCAGCTACTCGCTCCCTCCGGGTAGCTGGCTATAGTCAAGAAGTGACTAAAATCTTGTCCCTTGTCAGTGCTACTGTATACCTAGAAATTCTTACAAAGCATACATATACACTTGTAGAAACATTGTTTGCCAACCTTGTACATGGTCATGGGCATACTCCCCACTACATAGACATAGTTCAGCCTGTCTACCCATCTATCCACCCATAGATCACTGTTTTCCATCACTGACAATGCAGTGCTGTAGGTACAAAAGGATTCATCCTTGTTGTCTGTACCTCCTGTGTACCACTCCATGTCTTCTTCTTCCTCAACGCAGTACTGTGTGTACAAAAGAGTTCATCTTTGTTGTCTGTACCTCTCATGCACCTCTCCATGTCTTCCTCTTCCTCAGTGCCACCAAGTTAATCACTCATATTTGGTACATTGCTCTTCCCTTCACCCAAACCAATACCTGTATCTACCTATCTAGCAGTGTTCCCTCTCCTCCCCTTCCACCCCTAGTAACCAACAAAGAAAATTTCCTTCCATATATAAATCTTTCCTTGATGTTTTACAATAATGGACTAATACAATATTTGTGCTTCTGTGATTGACTTATTTCACTCAGCATAATGTCCCTGCAAAAACGGCAAGGAGGCCACATGTTCTGACCTCCTCTAACCCTACAAGGGGAAGGCAGGATTACCAGCAGTAATCCAAGGCCTATTACTGCAAGGCCAGACATGCTGCCTCCCTCCAGCCCTTTCACCAACCGTTCCTCCCAAGGCACCCACCACCTCTCTCCTGGGTTCGATAATTCACTGCAGTGGCCACACAGAACTCACAGATTATGGGGTTTATTAGGGAAGCACCAGGCTACAACTCAAGTCCAGGAAGAACGCTCAGTCTCTCTCCCAGCCCACCGTCCCTCAGCCAAGAGTCTCTCACAGTCTCTTTTCCAGCAGTGCTGGTCCCTCGGTGTCTCACTCAGTGATGCGTGTCTCTTGCGGCTCTTTCCCAGCAGCACGTGTCTCTTTCAGGGGTGCATGTCTCTTTCGGCAGCATGTCTTCCTCCACCAGCAGTCAGAGAGAGTTCTGCCTCCAGGAGGCCTCCTTTTGAGCCCGGAAGGGTGGTCAAACTAGCCAATCACAGTATCAGAACTCTAAGCATGTGTGAGAGAGTGGGAACCTCCCAGAACATTGTATTGTGCCACGCCCAACAGAAATAACCCAGGTGGACGACTTTAAAATCAGGATCTCCTCAGTTGCTAATAGCAATTCCCACCTTGGAGTTTACAAAGACTTATGGGTAGAAAAGCCACACTAAGTAATTTACTACACCGCAGTCCCCCAAGTTCATCCACGTTATGTGGTATTCTGAAGATTCTACGTTTTTCTTTATGGTTTTATAGTGTTCCATTGTTGTATGTATCATAGTTTGGTTATCCATTCTTCTGTTGATGGGCACCTAGATTGTTTCCATCTTTTTGCTATTGTAAATAGTGCTGCAATGAACATGAGTGTACATACATCTGTTCTTGTCCTGACTCTCACTTCTTTAGGATATCTACCTACTAATGGAATTTATAGCTCACTTTTTAACACTTTATTGAAAAAAGTAGCTCTTCTTCCTTGTCAAAATGTGGTTATATCTATATCAGAAATAACCGCCTGGGCTAACAGAGGCAGCAGTATAGTCTTTTTCTCATGAGTCAAATGGTACTTCTTTCTTCCCAGCTGGTCCTCTTGTCTTCCCCTCATAGAGCAGCACTGAGAAACCTTAGACCAGGCTTTCCCTGCTGAGGCCCCTCTGGAGTTTGAGCGACAGCACTGAATATCTGAGTGCAGTGTGGGTGCTGTGGCTTCTGGCCTTTCCAAAGGGAGCAGGACCTCCCAGGCTGTGGCAGGCGCTCACCTGGCCCCTAGGAGCTCCGGATGCTAGACTGCTCTAAACTCTGTCTTATACAGCACGTTGCAGCCCTGTTCCCAGGTGATGTGGATCGTCTGCGGAGGATGTCTGTGATCGAGGAGGGGGACTGCAAGAGGATCAACATGGCACACCTGTGTGTTATTGGGTCCCATACTGTCAACGGTGTGGCCAAGATCCACTCGCAGATTGTGAAGCAGTCTGTGTGAGTGTCCATGACCTCCATACTGCCTCTTCCTCAGGCTGTGAACACATGCACAGGTCAGGTAACAGGCTCAGGGTGGTCCTGGAGAGGCAGTTCCTCTGCGTTCCCTGCATCTTTGGTCCACCCAGGCAGAGTTCTGGCATCTGGAGCCTAAGTGTGTGGACTTCACTTTTTGCGGGGAGCATTGGAACAGAGGCTGTGGCCCTTGGTGTGGGTGGAAGGGGCAGAGGCTCTGGCCAAGGCTGCTGGTGGCCTTTTGTCTGATTGTCCCTGTATTTCTGGTGCTGGTCGGGGGCTTTGCTTCATCCCCACAACAGATTCAGAGTTGGGTGTCCTGTTGTACTGATGAGGAAACTGAGCCCAGGCTTCTTGAGCTCTAAAGCTTATATGCCCTAAATGGTCTTCACTGGAGGCTGTGTCCATTAGATGACAATGATGTGGTCTGCCAAGCACCAGCCCTAACAATGTGAGGGACAGCCGGCACAGGCAGAGCCACATAGTGAAAGCTCTGAAAGGAAGGCAGTGTGAGCACTATCTGGACATCTCAGTGTTCTTAACTGGTTTGAGCTCTTTAAGGAATAAACCTAAAACACTGAGCTTTAGGGTCTTCAGGACATTTCATTAAAAGGTCCTTATATCTATTGCTCATCAAATTCAGAACAAAGCATTTGTGACTTTGATCTGTCTTTTGTATCTTTAGATTTAAAGACTTTTATGAGCTGGAGCCAGAGAAGTTCCAGAACAAAACCAATGGAATCACACCCCGCCGGTGGCTCCTGCTGTGCAACCCTGGGCTAGCTGACATCATTGTGGAGGTGAGAGTCAGAGCTCACTTTTGTTCTTGCTTGGTCACTGAGTCTGACAGGAAACGTACTGCAGGGACACCGTGGACAGAATTAGGCAACTGATTGGCCTCTAAGCAGGCATCATCATCCCTTTGCTGGGGCTGCCAGACAGGGGCCTCCACCTGCACACATGATGCCAGTGGCAACTCCTGGACATGTCTTGGGCGTGGAGTGTAGGGTCAGTCGGCAGGTCAGTGAAGGCATCCAGAAGCCATGTCTGGGCTCCAGGAATGAGCTTGAGGGGACCACTAGGCAGAGCGGAACAGTCACATGTATGAAAAAGGACAGCTGTGTTTGCTTGGGGACTGTAAAGCAGAGACACATTTGCTCATGCACTTTTCACAGATGACTTCAGTCAAGAAGGACATATCTAGACTGGTGGCTGTGAGGGTGATATCCAGTCCTCAGATGCTCACATACCAGTGCATGGTACATGTGGTGGCATCCTGAGAACATGGTACCTAAGAGCTTGTCAAGGGAGATTGCCTGATCTGAGGCTGTGTGTGTGTGCATGCTCATGTGTACATATATATCGACATATTTGTGCACATGGAAGTGTGTGCATGAGTGCAAGAGAGTGCTCTGTGAGCATGCATATGTGTGCGTGGATATATGTACATGTAGGAGTATGTGTGTAGGTGTGGGTAGGCATGTGTGGATGCATGCATATGCATGTGTATGTGTATGTGTGTACAAGTGGAAGTGTGTAGTGAATGTGCATGCATGCATAGGTATATATGTGTGTATGTACATATGCATCCTAGAAGCCTTCCTGAGAACAGGGCAGTGAAGTTGAGACCTGGGGCATATAAAGAGGGTACCAGCAGTCGTGTCCTAGGTGGAGCGAATTTCTAGTTGAAGGGCCTCCCAAAGGGAGGTAATACATCCAAGGATCAGAAAGACAGATGTAGCTTCGGTGCAAAGGACAAGGTAGGGCAGATTCTGAGGAGATGCTGGCAACACAGCTAGGGTATTTGTGGACTAGCTTAGGTATTTTTCTCTTTGCCCTTAAGTTAGCAACAAGAGGTCCTAAACAGTAGGTAATCAATGAGATTACCATTTTGAGGTAGATGTGTGGAGGTAGAGGGGTGTGGTGGGAATGGTCATGAGAAGATGAAAGGGTAGATGGGTACAGCAAGGGTAGCCATAGGGAGGTGGAAGAACATGTAGGAATAGTCACAGGGAAGTGGAATGGCATGATGGGTAGGCACAGGGTAGTGAGGAGGACTCAGTGTCACACTGCTCCAGGTATGTGGCCTGCCATGTCAAGGTGTAGGGGATGGTATCACATGCTAATTGGGAAACCCAGGAGGGGACTGATGTACAGGAGGTTCCTAAGTGGGGTATAGACTCTTACATGTGAAGGACAGGAAAGCATACAGGTATAAGTGTCTGAAGACTCCCAGACTCTGGGTGCCCAGGGAGGGGTTGGTTAGTGGTCCAGGAAGTCTGTTGTGGATGGTGTTTCCTGTAGAGGTGGTATGTAGCAAGAGGACAGCATGCCTGTGGGGTAGCTAGAAGAGGTGGGTCTGACAAAGAGGAGCAGAGTAGAGAGTAACAAGACTGGGAAGCTGAGGGCTATGCTTCTGGAGTCACGTCCAGTAATGGGTAGAAACACATGTCCCCTTTACTCTTCTAGAAAATTGGGGAAGGATTCCTTACTGACCTGAGTCAACTGAAGCAGCTGCTGCCCTTGGTCAATGATGAAGCTTTCATCAGGGATATGGCCAAGGTCAAACAGGTGAGTCTTGCACATAGAGCCATGTCTTCACCAAGCTACTTCCTGGGGTGCCTGTGTAAGCCCACCTTATCATTGAATGGGTGGGCATATCAGTACTCAGAGTACCCCTATGTCCTGGGTCCATGCCTCACTCAGGCTTTTGCCAGATGGAGAACCTGGGAGGGAACTGATGCCCCTAAGTTAGCAACAGGAAGTCCTAAACAGGAGGTACTCAATGATAGTACCATTTTGAGGTGGATGTGTGGAGGTGGAGGGGTGTGGTGGGTGTAGCTTTTGCCTGAGTCCTGCTGTAGACCTCAAGGCTCTTTCCAGGCTTGACTTCCTACCACTACCAGTATTTTGTAGAAGGGGATTATCATGGGTGATACCATGGGAGAGATTTGCAAATATCTAATCATAGCTCTCCCCAGTTGGATCACAGCATCTCCAGCAGCAGCTAGACTCTGTTGAGAGTTGGCCTGTAATCTCACCCTCAGCAAAAAAGTCCAATGTTAATTGTTTGGAACCTTTTAAGCAAATTCATGGAAACTAACAGAGAAACCATGGACAGAACTGCTGTAGCTCTTACTGCGCAGATGGGCACCAAGGGTGCCATTGAGGCTCCTGGTCCTCTGCGTTGCCATGCTTCCTCTCCCATGCCTCCTCAGAGTGAAGGGCCCAGAAACAGTCCTTCATTCTAGATCCTTGCTATGTCTGGCCCCCTGCTCTTTCCCAGACTGCCTCCAGCCCATTCACATCCTTTTCTTGTCCAACAAGTCTTCAGTTCTCCAGCTTTATAGCTCCTGGTTCAGGTCTGTTGTCAGCACCACCTTGTGTGTATCTGCCCACAGTGCTAGTGCTCATATCACAATCCCCACACCCTCCTTAGCAGCAGCTGGCTGACCTTCCTGAATGTGCTTCTTAGGCTGTGGTTTCCCCCACAAAGCAAAACTTTGTAGGGTCTTAGAAGTCTGTATTTTGAGCAGCATCATGAAGTGGTCTCCATTAGCTGTATAGCCCATCTTTTCTATTGACTCTCCCTAGGAAAACAAGCTGAAGTTTTCTGCCTTCCTGGAGAAGGAATACAAGGTGAAAATCAATCCTTCCTCTATGTTTGATGTGCATGTGAAGAGAATCCACGAGTATAAGCGCCAGCTGCTGAACTGCCTGTACATTATCACTCTGTATAACCGTGAGTGGTCCTGCCAGCCACCCCACCCCTTCTGTTAGCTGTCATTGTTCTCTAAACATCTGGTGAGCACACACCTCGTGCCCAGGTCCTGGGCCCTGCTCTCTGCAATTGGGGCATGTGGGCAGGGATGACACTGCATAACTAGTCTATCTGTGTACCCAGTGCCAGAGCAGGACCACAGAAGAGACAGGTGAGCTCTCGGCTTCTAACTCTGCTGGGGTGTTGCCTGAAGTGTATGGGGCCCTGGACTGAGGCCTGGAATGGCCACCATGGGCCTAGCTAATAGAGGTGAGACTCCCGCAAGACACTGAGGCACGGTTTTATATTTAGTTTTTATTTTAAATTTAGTTATTATCTCTATTAGGCACATCTTAGGTATTTAGGAAAATTTTGCTTTTTTAAGTATACTTTTTTAAGTATAATGTTTTAAGTATATGTGAATAGACCCAGTTGCCATTGGGTCAGTCCTAACTTACAGTGATTCCATATGGGTCAGAGAAGAACTGTGCTTTTATAGGCTTTTCAGTGGCTGATTGTTTGGAAATACATTGCCAGGACTTTTTACTCAAGTGCCTCTGGGTAGATTTGGACCTCCAGACTTGATAGCAACTGAGCATATTAACCATTTGCACCACACAGGGACGCCAAGAAATAAAATAGTATCCATTAAATTTATTCATGTACCTTAAATTGTTTAGATGGCATCTAATTATGAGAACAAACAGGAATCAAACATCCCATTAAAAGTAAGTACGTTTGGAGCTCTGGTGGTGTAGTGCCTAAGGCACTAGACTACTTACCAGAAGGCTGGCAATTCAAACCCATGAGCCACTGCTCGGAAGGAAGATTAGGCAATCTACTTCTATAGAGATACTGCCTCGGAAACCCAAGGAGGTGTTGTGATGAGTTGGAGATGACTTGATGGCACATAACAACAATAACAACATGTTAGGTTTACAATAATAAAATATTAAAAGAAAATCTTGGTTTTAGGATTTCATATTTTTAATAAAATGAATATTATTTCTGAAAACCAAGGAGTCACAAATACTCTTTTCGAGATACCAAAGCTACTCTTACGAGCATAGAGTCTGCTATTTTAACTAGATAAGGTTCATCCAATCAGTTGGCCAGGTTACTGTCTTCCAAATTTCTTGGCATAGGCAAGTGAGCACTTCTAGCGTTATATCTGTTTATTGAAATATCTTAATTGGTATTTTATCAATTCCTGGAGCCTTAGGTTTAACCAATGCCTTCAGTGCAGCTTGGACTTCTTCCTTCAATACTATCAGTTCTTAATCATACGATACCTTCTGAAATAGTTGGAAGACAGCTGTGTGGTGATCTGACTGGAAGAGATCCCTGTGCATGCCCATTCTAAAGAAAGGATCTAACAGAATGAGGAAATTATTGAACAATATCATTAATATAAGTTAAATTTTGCTGAAGATAATTAAAAAATGGCTATAGCAGTACAGCAACAGGGAATTGCCAAAAATTCAAGCTGGATTCAGAAGAGTATATAGAATGAGGGATATCTTTGCTCTTATCAGATGGATCTTGGCTGAAAGCAAAGAATACCAGAAAGATGTTTACCTGTGTTTTATTGACTATACAAAGGTATTTGACTGTGTAGATCATAATAAATTATGGATAACTTGGTGTTTTGGTTACCTAGTGGCCCTGACAGGTATACACCATAAATGGGATGGCTTTAACAAACAAGAGTTTATTCTTTTACAGTTTTGAAGGATAGAAATCTGAGTTCAAAGTGCCAAGCTCTAGGGGCTGGGTGGAAAGCCCCTCAATCTTGGGCTTCAGCTCTGCCTCCTGTTCCCAGCCCACTGAAGCTGGAGGCTTTTCTTCACTCAGACAGCTACTGGCTGCTGAAGGTGACAAACCCAAGGTCAACAAGTACAAAGGCACAGTCCCAATGTTACCAAACAACATTGCAGGCCACTAATTCAAGTCGAGAAGAAGTTCCAAGATTGGCAGGGAAACATGGCTGAACAATGACTCAGCTACATGCAGGGTTCAAATGTGCCAAAAAGCTGGAGACCTTCCTCAAAGTTGCTTCTTATATACTGGAAGCAGCCCACATCCCTAAAGCAGCTACACAGCTGCTCCAGTAGATTCCACCATGGAGTTAATTACCAATCTCACCATGGGGGAATAACTAGAGCCAGCTGCCCAGCCACTCAACCAGGCCCAGCCAAGTTGACATACAACCTTAACACATGGTGAAGAATGGGAATTCTGGAACACTTGATTGTCCTAATGTGGAACCTGTACATAGACCAAGATGCAGTCATTTGAACAGAATAAAAGGATACTGCATGGTTTAAGGGAGCTCTGGTGGCATAGTGCCTAAGGCATTTGACTGCCATCAAGAAGGCTGGAGATTTCAAATCCACCAGCCACTCCTCAGAAGGAAGGTTGGGCAATCTACTTCTGTAGTGATACTGCCTTGGAAGCCCAAGGAGGGGTTGCTATGAATTGGATTCGACTCCACAGCAATGGTTGCATTTTGGTTGCATGGTTTAAAATCTGAAAAAGTATGTGTCAATTCTGTATTTGTAATTCAGTCTGTACAGGGAGCAAATAATTGGAGAAGCTGGACTGTATGAAGAACAAGGCATCAGGATAGGAGGAAGACTTACTACAATCTGCATTATGTCAAAAATGACACAACTTTGCTTGCTGAAAGTGAAGAGGAATTGAAGCATTTACTGATGAAGATCAGAGGCAACAGCCTTCAGTATGTATTACACCTGAGCATAAAGGAAACAAAAATCTTCACAACTGGACCAATAAGTAACATCATGATAAATGGAAAAAGATTGAAGTTGTCATTTTACTTGGATCCACAATCAATGCCCATGGAAGCAGCAGTCAAACTATCAAATGACATATTGCATTGGGTAAATCTGCTGCAAAAGGGCTCTTTAAAATGTTAAAAGCACAGATGTCACTTTGAGGATTAAAGTGTGCCTCCTCTAAGCCACGGTATTTTCAGTTGCCTCATATGTGTTACAATTAGTAAGAAAGACTGAAGTAGAATTGATGCTTTTATTTTATGGTATTGTCAAAGAATATTGAATATAAAATTGACTGCTAGAAGATCAAACAAATCTGTCTTGGAAGAAGTAGAGCCAGAATTCTCCTTAGACACAAAGATGGTGAGACTTTGTTTCAAGTACTTTGGACCAATACCTAGAGAAAGATACCATGCTTGGTAAAGTAGTGGGTCAACGAAAAAAAGGCGAGACCCTTAAGAGGATGGATTGGCACAGTCACTACAACAATGGGGCACAAACATAGCAACAGTTGTGAAGATAGTAGCATTTCATTCTGTTGTACATAGGGCTGCTGTGAGTTGGAACTGGCTTGATGGTGCCTAACAACTATAGGGCTCATCTAGGTGCAAGAATCTGACCCCTCTGAGAAATAATGTAATATGGTAGATGCCATTTTTATGGTGAGCCCCTACCCTCAGTCCCCTGGGTACTAGGACAGTGCAGCAGCTCAGTGATGAGTGTGACCCCTCCCCAGGAACAGTAGTTACATAGTCACTTGGCAGTAGCTAATGTCATATGACGTAAACCTTTATTTTTTTCCTTGCCCTGGTTTTCTTTTACAGGTGTATGTTCTGAATTTTTCTTCATCATTTTCCTCTATAATGTCCCCTTTTGGATTTGCATTTATAAATAACCATGAGAGTAGCTCCTAACCCTTTCCTCCACTCCACCACCCACTTCTCAGCCAACAGTATCATCTTATTTTAGTGTTTACCTTTGTGTTTTCTAACATGTTTACATTTCTGACATGTTAGGTTTTTTTGTCTTTCTTAGGGAATCAAGTTTTTTTTTCTTTATTTTTATCACGGTATGTATCTATATGTAATAAAACAATTATCAGTTCTTCAATTTTTTTCCAGCAATTTCTGCATGCATAATTCAGTGACACTGAAGATATTCATCATATGGTACAAACGTTACCACTATCCTTTTCCACATTATTAGATGTTCCACATCCTTAACAGAAACTCATTGTCCCCTAAACAGTTACTCTCTCACCCTCTTTCCATGACATCCATGGAAACCACTAATAAAGTTTGGTCTTTATATATTTGTTTATTCTAGATATTTCATTTAAGTGATATTATATAGTATTTGGACTTTTGCTAATGACTTATTTCATTCAACATGTTTTCAGGGTTCATCTATGTTATAGATTGTACCAGTATATCATTTTTCATTATAGTTTAGTAATATTCCATTATATGTATATACCATATTTTGTTTATCAATTCATGATGGACACTTAGGTCATCCCCACCTGTTAGCTATTGTGAAAAGTGAACAAGTTTCTGTTTGTGTTCCTGCCTTCATTTCTTACGGGTATATATCTAGGATAGGGATTGCTGGGTATAGTAATTCTGTATTCAACTTTTTGAAGAACTGCCAAACTGTTCTACACAGTATACCATTTTACATTCCAACCAGCAGTGAATGAGGGTTCCAATTTCTCCATATCCTTGCCAACATTTGTTACTTTCCGTTTTTTTTTTTTTTCATAGCTATTCTAGTGGTGGTGAGCTGGGTTTCGCACTGTGGTCTTGATTTCTATCTTCTTGATGACTAGTGACTCTGATCATGTTGTTAGAAGAGACCAGTCACTAGAAAAGGATACCATGCTGGGTAAATTGGAGGGTCAGTGAAAAAGGGAAAGACCCGCAGCGAGATGGATTGACACAATAACAGCAATGATGGGCTCAAGCATGGCAACAATTATGAGGATAGTACAGGACTGGGTATTGTTTTGTTCTTGTGAATATAGGGTTGCTCTGAGTTGTGACTGACTCAGTGGCACCTAACAACAATACTAGTGAAGGAGCCTGGGTGGCACAAGCAATTTGTGACCAGCTGCAAACTTAAAGGTTGGCAGTTTGAACCCACCCAGCAGCTCCATGGAAAATAAAGCTTGGATAACTGCTTCTGTAATGACTTAAAGCTATGAAAACCCCATGGAACAGTTCCATTCCATACACATAGTTTTGCCACGAGTCAGGGACTGACTCAACAGCAGCTAACAACAGCAATTAATGAAGTCCCTGGGTGGTAGAAAAGATTTGTGCTTGATTACTAACCTAAGGGTTGGCTATTCGAACCAACCAGTAGCACCATGGAAGAAAGGCCAGGTGATAGGTGATGCTCCTATAAAGATTCCAGTCAAGAAAAATCCTATGGAGTAGTTCTACTCTGCATACATGGGGTTACTATGAATGGGAATTGACTCAATAGCGACAGTTTTATTATTTTATTTTTTCTTAATGACTAATGATTTTGATCATCATTTCATGGTTTTTCAAATAATATCTTACTGTGTTTCCAGTCAAGGTTTACACAGCAGTTTAGGTTTGACAATTTCTACACAAGTTGTTCAGTGACATTGGTTACATTTTTCACAGTGAATGAACATTGTCATTATTTCTGTTTAGTTGTTGGAGCATGTGACATTTGCACTGTGCTACATCACACTTTTTTCTGTATTTATTTTGGTCAGATAATTCTATTCCATACTTCACTGAATATTAAATTCTTGACTTCACTTTCCTTGGGAGCTCTGGTGGCTGGCATAGTGCCTAAGGCATTTGACTGCTAACCAGGAGGCTGGCCGTTCAAACCCACTAGCCACTCCTCAGAAGGAAGACTGGGCAATCTACTTCCATAGAGATACCACCTTGGAAACCCAAGGAAGGGTTGCTATGAGTCAGAATCAACTCGACAGCAGTGAGTTTGGTTTTGGTTTTGGTTTTTCACTTTCCTTGAGTTTAGGAGTTTCTCTGCTGTCTAAGAGTTGGATGTTGGTGTGAGGCAGTCTCTGACACTGTCTGATTTTCTGTTGCTTGTAAAGGAGTTGCTCCTATTGCCTGTCCTGAGTCTCTGAGGTGTTATCTTGGTGTTGACTTGTAGGTCAGTTTCCTTGATGCTCAGGTTGCTCTTTGAATGTGTTGATTGCTATCTTGTATTATTTCAAGATGGTTTTCCTGAAGTATATTTTATTAAGTCCCCGTCTTTTGGTTTTCTCCTCCTGGGACTCTAGCTGATGCATGATCAATTTTCTTTACCTATCTTCTTGTTTGTTGATTTCCCTTTTTTCTCTCCTCTGTGTCTCCTAGTGTTTGTTCTGTGTTCTCTTCCTTCCTTGGTTCTGTAATCAAGTAGTGCATCTGTGCAGTGGTTTTTCCTTCCTGTGTCTCATGTTCTACTGCTCTTTCTGACTTTCCCCTTGAGGGCTGAGTCTTGGCCCAGTCATCTTCCACAGATATGTGGTGCACGCTAGAAGGTGGGCTTCATTTGTTGTCTGTGGTGAAGTTGTGTGGCGTTAATTTTTATAGTTTGTATTGGAGCAAGTTGGATTGCCCTGGATTGTGAGTAGATTATTCTTGAGGGGTAAGAGGAGCTCCAGGTAAGCTTCTATACTTCACAGCTTTCCTGTTGCAGTGTCAAAGCAATATCTCCTTAAAAAGTAGCCCCTCTTTGGCCACATTGCCTCCATTTATTTCTCCAAGACTAGCCTGGTAAAAAAGACTCTCACCAGCCCTGGCTTTCCTGGCTTCTGTTTGTAGGTTTCTGTCCACAGAATGTCAGAACTGTCCTTTCAAAGACTGGCCCCTTATAGAAGAAGTGCTGTCCAGGTCTGCCCCTGGGTCCTTGGGCTTCCTTTCATGCTACCTCACCTACCCCCAGTCCTTCAGGTGCTCCTACTGCCCACTCCCAGGAGGACAGGAGACCCTTGAACCCTGTGCTGCTGGCAGCCCCTTTGCCCTCTTTCCTGGCACTGTGCAGCTAACCTCCATGTGACACAGCAGTGCTTATAGAATAATAGGAACTTGGATACTTCTCCTCTTTCCTAGTTTTGGTAAAAATATAGTTTTATTTTTACTTTGTTCTTTTTCTATTCTCCTTGATATTTTGTGTGATTTCCAGATGTGGGAAGCTACAAATTAAGAGACAACCATGTTTCTCCTGGAACCAGAAGTCAGTCACATGTTAGAAATAAGCTGTGACTCTATTGTCTGTGGCTGGGTGTCCTGATTCCTTAGTGAGCAGCTAGCCAGGGCTGGCTCTCACCCCCTTTTTGTTTAGCCCACAGCCTGGAACTGAAAATTGCTGACCTGGTGAGGATGACCTTGGTTTGCGGAGGCTGAAACTACCCACCATGCTAGCTTGGGTTCTGAGTCTGCCATGTGGTGGGGCATTCCCAGATTCTGATGGGAAGTATGGGAAGGTGGAAGCAGTTGTCACAGTTCTGATGGGGTGTGTAGAGAGTTGGGGGGGCTTGTGATCCAAGTTCTAAGGGACAGTGTGAGGGATTAGGGTCTTGCCTAACACACCAAGTGCTGAATTCCCCATTATCGCATCCCAAGGCCACCTCTTTGTCTCTCTATGTAGGCAGATTAACATGCCTAAAGCATGGTTTCACATATGAGTGCTGCCTCTTTTGAGGGTGTTGAGTAATGGTACCCACACCCTGGAAGTCAGGTTTGAAGCATTTCCTATGAGACTGCTTGAGAATGCTGTTTGCTAAGAGCAGCAGTACAGGGAGTCCTGGTTGTGCCAGTGGCCCCTGGCCCACCTAGAGGAAGCACAGAGTCAGGGTAGGCAGTCTATCACATGTGTGGCCCCATCACTGACCATAGCTCTGGGTCTTGGTCTTGGGACCTTTGGCCACTGTGAGATGGGGTTTTGGCCACCATGGTGGGTGGCCATGTGGCATTTCCTGCCCTGGGTATCAGAGTGAGTACAGTTTTGGTGCCTCACTGGATCTCCTTTGTCTGCAGGAATAAGGAAAGACCCAACAAAGTCCTTTGTGCCCAGAACTGTCATGATTGGGGGAAAGGTAAGTGATTTCCTCATGGCCCTTGTTTCTAAGATGGGCCCAAACCACTACCCACTCTTTGAAAGGTGACCTGCAAATTTCTCAGTAGGTCAGTAGAACTTAGAACCAGTGGCACAGTGGGTGGGAAGCTGAGGGCATCTGTGTTCCTAGTATGCAGCACTGAATGCAGAAGTTACCTGCCCACATGGCCTGTGGGGTGGAGGAACACCCCACAAAGCCAGTTGGGTGCCTCTCACTTCCACTGACCTGAGGGAGCTTGACAGGACCCTTTGCTATCCAGTAGCCAGACTTGTCCCCAAGAGCTTGCCAAGCCTTCTGCCATAGGTGGGTACAGTCTGTCTGTGTGCTGCCTTTTTCCATGTCACAGGTGAGCTCCTTTGGTGCACCAAGCTGCTATGTTCCAAGTGGATGCAGGTGTAATGTGGCTGCTTTATCCATCAGGTTGGACAACATGGAGCCCAGCTTGCTTTTGTTCTATTTTATTTAATGTAACATACACTTTTGGATTTTTAGAGCTGACATTTTAGTCCTTATAGCTATTAAGGACAAGCAGATTATATCCTTGTGCTCCATCCTCCAGGGCTATGTTTCAACCTCCTGCCACTCCCTCTGCAACTTGGTCATTGTCCAAGAACACAAAGGATCCGCATGCAGCCTATTTCTGCTGGCTGTGCTGATGCAGTGGCCCATAGAGAGTCAGACCAGGGTCCAGCTAGGTGCTGTAGCCCTCAACCCCAGTGTTTTGGTTCTCTAATGTTGCTATAACTGAAATACCACAAATTAACAGCTTTGGCAAACAGAAATTTATATTCTTACATTTTAGGAGGCTAGAAGTCCGAGTTCAAAGTGCCTGCTCTAGGGGTTGGGTGAAAGCCCCTCAACCTTGGTCTTCAGCTCTTCCTCTTGCTCTTGGCTCACTGGAGCTAAAGGTGTCTCTTAAATCAGGCAATTGCTGGCTTCTGAGGCTAACAAACCCAAGGTCCACAAGTAAAATGGCAGTCTCAAGATTATCAGGCAACATGGCAGGCCACTAGTTCAAGTCCAGAAACAGTCCCAAGATCGGCAGGCAACAGACAGGCTGTTGAATGGAGACTCGGCTAAATGCAGGATCCAAGCATGCCAAAAAGCTCGAGGTCTTTCTCAAAGCTTCTTATATACTGGAAGCAGACCACATCTCTAAGGCAGCTGCTCAGCTGCTCACAGCAAATTCCACCATGGAGCTGATTATCAGTCTCATCATGGGGAATAACTACATCCAGCTGCCCAGCCACTCAAACTCAAGCCCAGCCAAGTTAACACACAGCCTTAACTATCACACCGAGGCACATAGCTGGCCAGGGTCCACAGGGTGCTACCATATCGTGCACTCTAGTTCATCGTGTACTAGACAGTCAGGTGCAGGCGCTGTGGACTCACCCCCAGCCCAACAGTAGCTTCTGATTCATCCCTTTGTCCCTCTCCCCTAAGTCCTGAGGCAATTTCTAGATGCTGCATCATTTTTCAAAAACTTTTATTGTGATTTGGGTGAAAGTTTACAGAGCAAATTCATCTTCCATACAGCAGTGCACATATACTTTGTTTCATGACATTGACTGTATGTAATCTTCCACAATGCAACAGCTCTCTTCCTGCTTCCTCCCGATAGCCACCGCTTCCCTGTGTCCTTCCCTCTCATGCACTCCTGCCCCCCAAGCTATCTCCCTGTGCATACACAGCCCTTCTATTCTCCCATGATTGACCTCTCCAAGGAGCATATCTACCTAATGTAAATGTTTAGCTCATATGCCTGTCTTTTGTTTGGCTGAAAGCCACAGGTGTGGGTTCAATTCCAGATGTGACTGGCAGCTAGGGGCCATAGTTTCAGGGGTTCCCCAAGGCTCTTATCAGATTAGGAAACCTGTTCCTTTTTTTTTTTTTAATGATTTTGAGTTTTGTTCCACATTGTTCTCCCACTCTATCCAGGATCTCTTACATAGTTCCCCCTCCAAGTGGTTAACAGTTGTAGCCGGACACCATCTCATTCTTCTGATCTCATAGTTGTATCTGCTGAGGATCACATGGTGTACCAGTCCCTTGGACTAATTATTTCCATGTATCTTTGGTTTTCTTCATTCTTCTTTGCTCTGGACGAGGAGAGACCCATCATTGTATCTAGATGACTACTTGCAAACTTTTAAGATTCCATTCGTTACTTGCTAAAGTAGAATGTGGAACAATTTTTTTGTATAGTATATTATGCAAATTGAGCTTGATGCCCCCTGCAACCATGGTCCTGAGCCCACAGGTCCAGCTATTCACTCCCTCTGGGTAGCTGACTGTGGCAAGAAGTGACTACATCCTTGACCCTTGTCAGCTCTACTATATACCTGGGAATTCTTACAGAACATATAAAGACGCTTGTAGAAAAAGTGTCTGCCAATCCTTTACATGGTCATGGGATGCCACATCATTCAGTCAGTATTTCAGTACTTCTAACTTAGGAGCTCTGATAGTATAGTGCCTAAGGCATTTGACTGCTAACCAAAAGGCTGGCATTTCAAACCCACCAGCCGCTCCTCGGAAGGAAGATGGGGCAATCTACTTCCATAGTGATACTGCCTCAGAAACCCAAGGAGGGTTTGCTGTGAATCAGGTCTGACTCGATGGCACATAACAACAACAAAAACTTTTAACTTTAAAAAGTTAAAAAAAATTATGAGAAAATTAAAATCAAGAGAAAAGTAGAAAGAATTGCAGAAATCCATGAAATTATCCCCACTTCTTCAGTTTTACCTTTTGCTTCATGTGCTCTATATCCCTGGGCATTGCTGTCCTGTTCCAGATTAAGTCACAGTCATTCTGACACTCCTAAGCCCTTCATCACACATCCTTACAGAAGGTTGTTTTCCTCCAAAACCACACTGGACTCTTTGTAAACAACCGTATAGTACCATCATATCCCTAAAAATGCTTCATAAATTCCCATGTTGCTGACTCTCCAGGCAGTGTCCATAGCTCCACTGTCTGGTTTAAATCAGTTAGTTGTTGACATTTGTTTGAATAAGGATGCATCAACGGCCTCACATCAAGACTGATAGATGGATTTTATAGATCTCATAGTCTACAGCTTCCCTTTCATGTCTCCCTCTTTCTTCCCTTGTGATTCACTTGCTGAGTAAGCTGGATGGTCTTTCCCCACACACTGCCTTTACTGCTGCACCCTCTGGGATGGTGTCATGTGCCTCACCTCTCCTAGTTTTCTGTGAATTTGGCAGTCAGTTCTAGAGGCTTTTATTTCTTTTTTTTTTATTAGGGTTTGGGTGAAGATTTACAAAGTAAATTCACTTTTCATACAGCAGTTCACATATACTTTGTCTCATGTCATTGACCAAAATTTACAATGCAGCAGCTCCCCTCCCACTTCCTCCCCATAGTTACCTCCTCCCAGTGTCCATCCCTTCATACTCTTCTGCACCCTGAGCTATCTCCCTGTGCATAAGCAGCCCTTCCTTCTCCCATGATTGTTCTCTCCAGGGCGTGTGTCTACTTGAGGTAAATGTTTAACTCACATGCCTGTACTTTGTTTGGCTGGAAACCACAGCTGTGGGTTCAATTCCAGACCTGAAGGGCAGCTAGGGGCCATAGTCTCAGTGGTTACACCAGGCTCTATTGGACCAGCAAACCTGGTCCCCAGCTTCTTTTTTTTTTTTTTTGCCACTAGAGGCTTTTATTTCTTTTATCTCCTAATTTCTGGACAAGTGTGGGGCTGCACCCTGCATGACGGGGTGTGGGGACTTTTTAAACATATTTTTAGGCCAGGGACATCTGACAAATCACATACAAGACACGTCACGAGAACACAGTTTGGTGTCCCTGGAACCCGTGGCCTTCCTACCTGACGCAGTGGTTCTCACAGTGGCCGAGCCTTTATTCCCCAGGCACCCCTGATGACTATGCAGATCCTCAGTGCCCTTTTCTGACCTCCTCTTCCAGGCGGCACCTGGTTACCACATAGCCAAATTGATCATCAAGCTGGTCACATCCATCGGCAATGTTGTCAACCATGACCCCATTATAGGTGACAGACTCAGAGTAATCTTCCTAGAGAACTATCGTGTGTCCTTGGCTGAGAAAGGTATGTGGAAGGTATTCATGGACCGGGGCCTGCCTTATCTGGGGATGAGGTGGCTGGAGGGGTCCCATCAGGACAACAAGGCTGGGTGAAAGTACTCCCTCATGCCAAAGCACCCATGTGTACCAAAGATGGAATGGTTCTCAAGCCAGATGCCCTCCCCTCTGCACTTTCCCAGTGTTGCACTTGATTTTATTGTCACTCCGTCCTGCCTCCTGCTGCTGGAGCATGCACTTGGCTAGTGAAAGCATGCAACTCCCTGTCTGCCTCCACCCCCAGGTCTCTCCTGCCACTGGCTTGGCTTCTTAGGTGCATTGCTTTTTTATGCTGCCCAGCGTTTGCCTCTGACCTTTCCTGCATGCAGCTATAGGCTGGTACCCACTAGCTGGAGTTCAGGGCTGTGCTTGCCACATCGGGGTCGGTTCTGGGGGCCCAGGACTTGTGCTGCCACCCTGAGGAGGGGCCTGGAGCACACCTGTCTGACTCAGACAGTCTTCTCAACTGGCCATTTCTGAGGTCCTGCCAGCAGAGTGTTTTGCCCAGCCAATGGTGGGCTTGATTAAGCCTGGGTTACCTGTGTTGGCCTCCTGTTAAGGCATCCAGGCCTCTGTGTGATAGGCAGAATGACACCACTGATGCTGCTTCCTGGGCTGTTCTTCATCGAGGATGTACAGGTCCATCCAGGCCTTGTATCATGCCAATCTGTTCCTTTGGACAGTCAATCAGCCTTGGGTGCATTGGTCACTGAGATGGACTTGGACCATGCTGGGCAGGACCTGGGCAGGAACTTTGGTGCTGTTGATTATTCCTTTGCTGAATATTAAGTACAGGGTATTACAAGGCCCTCTCAACTGGGATATTCTACCCCATCTTAGGGCTGGCTGACTCCTACCATCTTTAGAACCGATAAGACCTACTCAGGCAGCCTCCAGACAGTGGTAAGGTCATGTCTCTTGTATTTGCTGGGCCTCTTTCCCATTGGGCTCTGCAACCTGGAGGGCAGGAGAACCTAGGTCTTATGCTGTTCCTGGGCCAGGCTTTACCTCCCCCCCCCCTTTTTTTTTAACTGTGATGTGGGTGAAAGTTTACAGAGCAAATTCACTTTCCATACAGCAGTTCACACACACGTTGTCTCATGACATTGACTACAATTTACCACAGTGTAACAGCTGCCCTCCCACTTCCTCCTGATAGTTACCTCTTCCCTGTGTCCATCCCTCCATGCACTCCTGCCCCCTGAACTGTCTCCCTGTGCATAAGCAGCCCTTCTTTCTCCCATGATTGTTCTCTCTAAGGAGGGTATCCACCTCAGGTAAATGTTCAAATCATATGCCTGTCTTTTTGGCTGGAAGCCACAGGTGTGGGTTTAATTCCACACCTGAAGGGCAGCTAGGGGCCATAGTCTCAGTGGTTCCACCAGGCTCTATCAGAGCAGCAAATATGGTCCTCACCCCACCCCTTTTTTTTTTTCTCCAAATGATTTTGAGTTTTGTTCCACATTGTTCTCCCTCTCTATCCAGGATCTCCTACATAGATCCTTCTCCGAGTGGTTGACATTGGTAGCCGGGCACCATCTAGTCCTTCTGGTCTCATAGTCATATAGGCTGAGGATCTCATGGTGTACTAGTTGCGAGGACTAATTGTTTCCATGAATCTTTGTTTTTCTTCATCCTTCTTTGCTCTGGACAAGGAGAGACCCATCATTGCATCTAGATGGCTGCTTGCAACCTTTTAAGATCCCAGTCGCTACTTGCCAAAGTAGGAGGTGGAACAATGTTTTGTGTAGTATGTTATGCCAATTGAGCTTTATGTCCCCTGCGACGATGGTCCCGAGCCCATGGGTTCAACTACTCACTCCCTCTGGGTAGCTGGCTGTGACCAAGAAGAGACTACCGCCTTGTCCCTTGTCAGCTCTACTATACCTCTGGGAATTCTTATGGAACATACAAATACACTTGTAGAACTATTTTCTGCAAACCCTATACATGTCTTGAATACACTACTTGCTGCATAGACATACCTAATAGTTCAACTTGTCTACCCATCTATCCACCAGTATACCCATGTTTTCCTTCACACACAATGTCTTTGTTGTCTGCACCTCCCATGTACCTCTGTTTCTCTTCCTCAATGCCACCATGTTGATCAATCATATTTGGTACATTGTCCTCCTCTTCACCCAAATCAGTACTTACCTCTACCTGTCTAACAGTGTTCCCACCCCTCCCCTCCTACCCCTGGTAACCAACAAAGAAAATTTCCTTCCATAGATAAACCTTTCCTTGACTTTTATAATAACAGATTAATACAATATTTGTCCTTCTGTGACTGACTTATTTTACTTACCATAATGTCCTCTAAGTTCGTGTACATTATGCGGTGTTTTGCAGATTCTATGTTATTCTTTAGGGTTGCATAGTATTCCATTGTATGTATGGACCATAGTTTGGTTATCCATTCCTCAGTTGATGGACACCTAGTTTGTTTCCAACTTTTTGCTATTGTAAATAGTGCTATGATGAACATGGGTGTGCATATATCTGTTCTTGTCATGGCTCACACTTCTTTAGGATATATACCTAGTAATGGAATGGCCGGGTCAAATGGTATTTGTATTTCCAACTTTTTAAGAAATTGCCATACTGCTTTCCACAGTGGTTGTACCATTTGACAGTCCCACCAGCAGTGTATGAGAGTCCCAATCTCTCCACAACCTTGCCAGCATTTGTTATTTTCTGTCTTGTTGACCTTTGCTTCTAGTGCTGGAGCAAGATGGTACCTCATTGTTGTTCTGATTTGCATCTCTCTAATGCTTTGCCCCCTTTTGATGAAGGCTGGCTCCAAGCACCAGCCTCTGGGCTAGCCACACAGCAATGGAGCTTCCCAGTCATCTATGGGTGCTGTGGGGCAGCATGTCCAGCCATTGTGTCCCTGGAAAGGGGTGGCCAGTCTGGGGGCAAAGCCAAAGCTCCCTTTCCACCTGCCCAGCAAGGGAGCCAGGGGCCATCAGGAGGATGCCATGCATGACTGCTGCACAAGAGTTATAGTGTCAGTGGCTGGTGGCTTATGTAGAACACTGGACACCCCCATCTTAGTCACCAGCATGTGTGGCCTACAGAGTAATACCCATGCATATTTGGATCCTCTTTCTAGTTCTTTGGTTTCATAGGAGCTTCATGAATGAGACATAAGTTATCATTTATCAGTTATCAGGATGAGAAGCAATGATAACACCAAGTGACCAGGACCACATGTCCTACCAGATTTTGGTTTGACCATGCTCCCTGAAAGCTTCTAGAATAAAGGGCCTTTGCCATCTGGGAGGCTTCTCCATAGGAGGCTTTATTTTGGATCCCTTTTCCTCAGCTACCTTGGATCAAAAAGGGAGCCTGCAGAGTGTGAGAGGAGGCTGTAGTCCCTTGGTTTCTGATCCGGGAATGGGTGTGGATTGTGTGGGGATGGTGCCTAGGAGAGTTCTTGCTTACTCCTGGGGAGAGCCTGATAGCACACCAGTACCATGCATCTTGTGGTGGCTGCTTGTTTTGGGAGGTAAAGAGGGACAGAGGAACAGGAATGGAGGCCCTGCCCTAGGGCATCTGTCTGAGACACATCTTTCTTTCTGCACTGGGAAGAGGGACCTTTGCTGTAGCTTCTAGAGCAGGGCAGCACCTCAGGACACATGAAGAGGTACAAGTAGCTGACCACCCTCCTGTGCTTGCTCCAGTGATTCCTTCTGCAGACCTGTCGCAGCAGATCTCCACTGCAGGGACTGAGGCCTCAGGCACGGGCAATATGAAGTTTATGCTCAACGGGGCTCTGACCATCGGGACCATGGACGGTGCCAATGTGGAGATGGCTGAGGAGGCAGGAGAAGAGAACCTCTTCATCTTTGGCATGCGAGTAGAGGAAGTGGAGGCACTGGACCAGAAAGGGTGTGTGCCTGCTGTCCCTTCCTGGGCCTGTGGGCATGAGAGAGTGGGGTGGGGCCTTTGGAAGATGCTTGTCCAGGTGTGCTGTGGGAGGAGGGGGGCATTGTGCAGGGATGGCTGGCCATTTCAGGCTGGCTTCAGATGTGGCTACTCTCGTGCTTTTTTGACAGTTAACTCAGACTGGGTTACTAAAACAGGACTCATCCAGTGAAGCACATATAGTACCTCTCATCCCCTTGGTCACTGGAAGAGACAAGTTCCCTCCCAGCAGGGTGGCCAGGGACACAGCATAGGGCAGATGGCTCCCATGTCCCCTTCATTGCCTAGAAAGGATGATACCCATCTCTATAGTCAAAGTCAGGGCCTACCTCTGACCCAAGAATGCTTATCTGACTTGGGAAATTTGGGCTTACTTGCTGCTGAGGGTCCCCGGCCTTTTTAAATAACTTTTTTTTTTTTTTTTTTTAAGTAAATAACATTTACAGAGAAGTTGCAGAGGGTCCTTGTGCTGCCCTCTTATCTCCCTGTTCTTTGTGCCTTGCATCACTTGCACCTCTACTGGGACTAAGACACCAACTTGCCACATCATTGTTAACCACAGTCCTGCTTCCCTCCTCCAGTATCATCATCTTCTGAGCCAGGAGCCCAGTCGAGGCCATACTGCGAGTCTTCCCAGCCTCCTGGACCTGTAATGGCTCCTCATGTTCCCTGTGCTTCACAACTTTGTCCTTGAGGAGCCTGGCCTTGTCTAATTTTGAGTGATAGTTGAAAAGAAAAGGCAGTATTATCTAATTGCCTACACACTTGAGGGAACTGATGAGGCCTTGGACACCAGCCAGGTGAAATGTAAATGTCACCTAAAGACACCTAAAGAGCTGTGCCCTGCGCCCCTTTCTCACCATACCCTACTCCTGACTTGAGGCTCTTACTGCATTCTGTCCTGGGCCCTGGACATACACCGTCCACATCCCCTCAGTTGATGGCGTGAACCTGCTTGTCTTGTTTGCCTGTATTTCCTCTGCATTTTCATAGTCCCAATTGAAGGGCTTTTCTCAAACCCTTCCCCTCATGGCAGGGAGTCAGTAGGGAGTGCAGGGGTGGGGGATGCAGATGTAGGGATGCAGGTCCAGGGACTCTGGACGTGGGGAGTCCAAGTATATGGCTTCAGGCATGAGGCTATATGCATTGGGGCTTTAGGGGTAGGGCTGTGGGCACAGAAGTGGATTTGAAACTGCCCACACTTTCATAGGCCAGTCTTGAGCAGCCCTCTGCAGCAGAAGTACCACATGGACCACACAAGGAATTGTACATTTTATTAGGAACACATTTTTTGAAAAACCATGAACAGCAGGTGACATTAATTTTGCACTCACAGTACATCATGATTCTAGTAGCCTAGACCTGTTGCCAGTGGCTGTTGTCCCAGGCAACACAGGTCTTGAGCTTAGGGGAACATCTGGGGACTCCTGCTTGGGAGACACCGATACTGACTTGTGACCTGGTCCTCCACAGGTACAATGCCAGAGAGTATTATGACTGCCTCCCAGAGCTGAGGCAGGCAGTAGACCAGATTGGCAGTGGGTTCTTCTCTCCCAGGGAGCCCGAATGCTTCAGGGACATTGTCAACATGCTGATGCACCATGACAGGTGGGAGCCAGCCCCTTCACTGTCCTTTGCTGTGTGGCCCTCACTACTGATAGTAGCATAAAGTCCCCCCCAAGGGCCCAGTTTGGAGGTGACTGTGAGATCCTCTTTTCGTTAGCCTACCCTGATTGGGCAGACTCACAGCCATTAGGCAAGGCTACAGCTAAACCAGTGCTGGAACTGACAGTGGCCTTGGTGCCGTGTCTGTGACCATGGCTATATGGGGCAGTGGGAAGTTGTTGGCTAACCTGGGCAATCAGTGTGATGGGGCACAGGTGATGTCACGATGATACTGCCTGGGGTCCTACACAGGCCTCAGATTGGGAGTGTGTCAGTGAACATAAGCACTGGTCCCTAAGAGGGTGGACATGAAGGCTCTCAGGAAACCTTTGGGAAGTGGGCTGGAGAGGGTGACAAGTGATGTGCAAACTTCACGTGATGGCCCACTTTATGTGGTAAAGTAGAACTAACCTGATGGTAACATTATAATGCAGTTAGTGTCTTAAGACACTGTAAACAGGGTAAAGGTGTTTATCATTAGAAATGACTAATTTCTAAAACACTGGTGGTGCCATTTTGCTGTCTAAGACAGCTCTTTACTCCACTCTCAGCTAAAAGTTAAATCAAGTACATGCTAATAAGCAACCTCTTTTCTACTTTCAGTTTCTTCTGGTTTAGTTTTTGACCACTGCTTTATTGCTTTTTTAAAAATTTATTTTACTGTAGTAAGATATATATATAACAAAATGTTAAGCCATTTCAGTTATTTTAAAGTGTACAATTTGGTGACATTACTCACATTCATCACTTTGTGCTACCATCATCGTGGTCTATTGCTTTTCTGATGCTTTTTTTATTAGCTGGCTTCAGTCTGATCAGATAACTACACATACCCCAAACACACTCACACACGTATATATACACATACACATGGATGCACATATATACACACTTGCATGCATGCACACATACATACACATATACATACACGTGCTTGGTTTAGAGGCTTGACCTTGGCTGAAGTCTGTGCTGAAGGAAGGACTTGAAACAATTTTATGAATGGTATTTCTGACTCAACAGTAAACAAAGTATATTTCTATCTTCATAAAGCCTGCATTTTGTCTAGAACACCCAGAAATGCAGTCTTTCCTGTGTTACTAGTGCTCAGCCCAGGTAGACTTGAGGGTGGTGCCTCAGCCTTAACCTGATATTCACAGAAGGCAGACTAGCATGCAGGAATGTTGCTACATGTGGCTGTCACTGAAGCAGATGGAGGGTTTTGTAGTGTGTACTTATTAAAGGAGTGTTGGGGCAAGGTAGGTTTAATTTTTTTCTTAATTTGCCTTCCTAAGGCGTAAGTATTACTTACAGAAAAGCTCCCTTGGCCAGGTGGGCCTGGCCCAGGCTGGCCAGACACAGTGTGGCAGGCTTCATGTTCCTGCCTCCTGCTCCCATCTGTGGCCTGGGAGCCCCTGCTGGCTGTTCTTGCTGCACCATGTTATGGTAGCTGCCCTGTTCCCTACCCCACCCCTGGCCCCTAACTGGTACATAGCCTCCTCTCATGCTGCAGGTTCAAGGTGTTTGCAGACTATGAGGCCTACATCGAGTGTCAGGCAAAGGTGGACCAGTTGTACCAGGTAACATCCCTGGTCCTGTGGGAGGTGTCCTGGGGGACAGTAGCTGGTAGGGCCCTTGTCCTGCATCCTTTGGTGGGCCCTCTTGGGGAAGACCCATTTCAATCTGTGACCCCAGAGCAGTGAGTGGTCTGGGGCTCAGCATGCTCTGAGCATGTCATAGACACAGGCATGGCTCCCTGTTATGCTATGCCTATAGTCCTCATGCATCCTGATCCTCCTTGTCAGTCTGTGATACATCCCATCCCATCTTAAGAGCTCCACAGCTGATACGCTGTGACTTGGAGTGGCCAGTATTGGCACCAGGCACTACGTCCCTTGTAGTATCATGCATTTCCATTGGCCCCAGAGTAGCCACCAGTCTAGAGCATGAGTGACAGCAAGATGGTGTTTGCCTGCTGAGCTCCAGAGGGTTGGAGGAACAAACTCCTTTCCTAAGCCAGTCTGATTAGTAGAACAAACCACAGGAATGCCAGGAGCTCAAGGCATGCCACTGATATGAGGGCTACAGATAACTGGTGAGGCCTGAGGAGTCTGGCCCAGAGAGTGCAATGGGGAGAGCATAGAGGATAGGAGCTATGGACAGGGCACCAGCAGAATCTGGCCAGTCATTGAACAGTGAGAACTCTGTGTGGCAGGCATGGTCATACAATTGTGGAAATGCAGACAACCTTACATGCCCTTGGTCTCATAATGCCAAAGATTAATCAGTGTCTTCTTACCCTCTCCACAGAACCCTAAGGAGTGGACTAAGAAGGTCATCTGGAACATTGCCTGCTCAGGCAAATTCTCTAGTGACCGGACCATCACAGAGTATGCCCAGGACATCTGGGGTACAGAGCCCTCGGACCTGAAGATCCCCCCACCCAACATCCCCCGGGACTAGGTTCCTGGGTCCCCATCACAAGCTCTGTCCACTCACAGCTCCCGTTCATTCCCAGGCCCTGTTTACTCATGGTCCCTGTCTATTTACAGGCCTCATCTACTAATAGACTCCATGCACTCAAGGGCCCCCATCCCTCCTGGGCTACAGTTTCTTTGATCGTGCAGCACCTCATGTGAGATTCCCAGCACTTTGCCAGCAGCTAGTGGTCCTTGCTTTTCTCACTGCTGTTTCCTGGAAGGGCTGTGGGTTCTAAGGGGGTAGGGTAAAGATGGAGAGGTATGTGGAGTTCTTGTGAGTTACTAGCAAAAGGGAATGTCAGAATGTGGCTGTGGTTTCTCCAGGAACCCTGCACTTTTCTGAGCTTGAGCTTGATTGCCTTAGATTTTAAGCCTCTAGACTAAGAGACTATAACCAATACCATTTCCTCACCACAGTGTCAGCTTCTGGGAGGGAATATGTTTGGATGCCTTTACACTGTTATGGAGCAAACTACAGATCCTGTATCATGTCATCCTTTAAGACTTTTTTTTTTTTAATGGTTTCCAAACTATTTTCCTTTTTGCAACAAGGCTAGTGGTTAAATTTATAGTTAAGTTTATGTGAAGAGGCATTAGAAACTGTAAACTTTACAGTTTAAAAGGTAGTTATTTAGCAAAAAAATTTCAATTGGGACAGATGTGAAGGCAGAGATGACCCATGTGTGGAAGGTCTCTGAAGGTGGCTGGAGTGGCCTCCTGCACCATGTCTGCAGGCTTCCTTGCCATGGCCTGGTGCCTTGACTTGGTCAGAGTGGGACTTGGTTGTCATTACAGTGAATCAGGGATGGGAGGAAAGGACATCTGGAATTGAGAAAGAGCAGTCCCCCCTCTCCCCACACCTGCTCTCAGCTCCTGTCCAGGGCTCTTGTTCTCTGCAGTGGGGTGAGTCCAACAGTCATCACTGTGCTGCAGGGCATTGTGTGCCCCAGGTATAAGGATTGCAGCCACATGGGGATCAGGGCCAATGCTGATAAGGGATGTGTACGATGACTAGGGGTAGATGTTAGGGGCAAGTCTTTCAGGCATTCAGTGCAGATTGTGAATGCAAGGTTAGCTTCGTTTTACTTTTATAGAAGAAAAGTTAACATCATAAGGAAATGAAACTAGCTGAAGACATGTCTTTATTTAGTCACTAAAAATTGTACTTTTTAATTCTGATGACCAAAGGAGGCTGCGTTCGGTGTGTTTTTAACCTGGCTGGAGGCTGGCCAGTGCCACTGTCCCCACACCAGGACTGCCTGCCCTTTCTGGTGCTGTGTGTCCAGCAGGTCACACAGTGCACACAACCTTTCTTGGAGAAGGGACCAAGTAGGCCTACAAGGGGAGCTTATTCAGCTCTGCCAGGACAGTGTACCTTTCCTGAGACTACCTGTGAGGACTGTGTGAGAAGAGGGTCTCCTGACTCTGTGTGCTGTGGTTCACCAGAGCCCCTTTGTGTTTTGGGGGTAGTGACCAAGTTCTGGCTGTGGCCATGCCTGACATTACCCAGTTGGCCCATGTGCCCTATACCCCACTGAGGAGCTGTATGTGAGACTGTTGCTGCAGCCATTTGCTGTCACTAACCCCCATGAGAAACTCATTAAATCTGTGTCTGTTGCTGGTAATCATGTGTCTGCAATTTAATGCTTGCATGTTCTGCTGCCCATCTCTCAAGACAAGCAGAAGATGCTGGTTCTTGCAGCAGGGAGCAAGGACGGGCACTGCCTGGAGGTTATAGTGACCTGCAAGAACTGCAAAGCTGCCAACATAGGCAGTATTAGGATGATGGGAAGCTCATTGGTGCCCAGCCTCCTGCAGGACTCAAGCATGGAGCTCTCAGTTCCTGGCAGGGAAGCATGAGGTAATGCTGGGCCCAGAGGTCCGTGCTGGTTCCTTGTCAGTGGGCTTCAGGCCCCAGTTCCTTCTTTTGTATGGAGGGAGTTGGGCTCAATCACAGCCCGTCATTTTGTGATAAGAATGGAAAATTAGTTCTCAGCTGCATGTAGGACTAAGCCATGTGCTCCTGCACTGCCATTTCTGTAGTCAGAATTAATCATCAAACCCAGGCACTTGTTGAATTCTGTCACCTGGGGATCAAAAGAAAGCGTTTGGATTTCTGGTGTGAATTGTGTTGGTCCGCCTGACCCATCCAACCAAGGGCCTGATGCAGGGCACCATTGATCAGTCAGCAGCTGGCCTGCAAGTCTCGCTGGGGGCAGTGACCTGGGAGGCTTCTTCCTTAAGCACAGCCCATCTTGGACCTTGAGGGCTGGCACAGCCCTGAAGTTAGCAGCAGGCAGAGTCCTAAGATGGAGCCTAGGGACTCTACTTTGCTGTTCCTGGGCCTAGGGTTTGTGTGCCTGAGAGCCTTATCCTATGGCTGTGAAGCCCCATGTGGTTACTATATCATCTTTAGAATGTCCTCACATCTTCCTCATCCCGTTTTGTTTAAGCACTGATCTATTGCCCTATGAATTGATGTTATACTCCATCAAAGTGGCCTAACACCACAATTAAGCTTAGTTCCCTGGACCAAGGTAAAAGTTAAGTAGCCCAGACTTGGGGGTTTGGGTGGGGTTTTGCTTTGGTCTCAAGATCTGACAGGGGGCCACAGCAGCTGTCCTCTCTGGACTTCCCCCTGGGGCTGCCCCATCAGCATCAACCTACCGGTCCAATAATTGTAAAGAAAAACTGCTGACCACTTGTGTATTTTTTTTTAATACGCTGCCTCATCCTTCCCCCCCAAAAAAAAAATCTGAGGCAGCTTACACAGACAAAAAGTTAACAGATGAATTCAGTAAGGGCAAAGTGCTGGGAAACAGAAACTGGGATGATGTGAAGATACAATATCTGAGGTGGTGGGGATGGATGGAGAACTGGTTCCCCAACCTCAAAGATGGACACATATATTAAGTCTAGGAGGTAACAAGCTGGCAGAGCAAGGCTGTCCTGGCTCCAAGCCTTAGACCTCACCATCTTTCAATGCCCAGTCCTTGGGTCGACACAGTCATATTTTAGTGACTCTTCAGATCTCCAGTGGAGAGTAGTTACACAAGCAGCTGCTAGCAGGGGCCAGAACAGTGCCAGAGCTGATGGGATGCCGGTGATGAGGCAGTGTCTCCCAGGCAGTTCTGCAGTATGATGCACAGCTGAGCTAGTGACAGGGAGCAGACTGGAGACTATAGTTAGTTGGCAAGAGTGGGAGGGAAGCCCCTGTCCAGTAGAAGGAAGACAAATGACAAAAGCCTCTTCAAGGGGGAAGTCACCTGTCATCAGTTGCTCCCTGATACTTCAGAGAGAAGACATGTCCTGTTTGTTTCAGCCTTTGGGCCCAACAGCCAGTTCTAGCTACCACACTGGACACAAAATTTCAAGAAACAAAACTCAATAATCCAGCACCTTGTGCCAGGCATGCAAATAAGCAGGCCTGGCTCTACCCTGGTGAACGTCTGGTCTGAGACTAGGACATTCCAGAGCCAGGGTCTGGGGAGGGCAGCTAGCCTCTAGGGACAACCAGTCCCTGAAGATCTGAGAAGGGAAGATGTGACTTTAACATACATACCACATGGATATGAGTCAGCTGTAGACAGACTGAAAAAGCAGGCATTTATTACAACCACACCCTGCTCTGGTCTTTGGGAATTGTTAGGAGATGTAACCTAACATCTGGTTTGTAAAACTGACCTGATAACTGGGATCTGTCTCTGGGAGGTGTCAGAGCCGGCTATATACATCTGAGATTTCACAGTGGTGGATGAAAACAACAGCAGTGCATGGAATGTGGGTTTTACAAAAAGCCTAATGAGACACAACCAGTATTTGTTTCACATATCCTAAACTGGGTAAAAACAGTGTTCCCCCACTCCAGTGACTCATATTCTTATAAGTTGCCAGGGACCTGTCATACACGTATCTGTAGACTGCCAAAACACAGTAATCATAAAGCCAACATACACGTCTAAGGAATGGGTTTTCCTGAGCTTGAAGGTGAAAAGCTAAACTTAAAACCTTTATTTTAGGGAAATGTTATCTCTCAGTTGGGAATAGCCATACCCCACTGTGAGGAAATGCCCACCTTCAGCACCCTTCTTTGTGGGACCTCAGGGTGTTGGAAGAAGAAGAAAGGGAACAAGCCCCAAGAACTGCTACTGCCATTGCTGCGTCCCCCAGGCACTGAGGGAGAGGCTGTGGGCAGAGGGGCCAGGGTAGTGTAAGGGACAGGAGACATCATTGGTCATTCTTGTTTCATGGAAAAGACAACAGACAGACCACCACCACAATTTTATTCTTAAATAAATGCTCAATCTAAGCCCAGGTTAGATGGACAGACAGGAGGAATGCAGAAGTATTAGGTCACCAGCTTGACCTTCAGCCTGGTGGATGTGCAGGGTCCATGAAGGGGAGGGGGGCTTAAGGCGACAGCCAAGGGAGGCAAGCAGGTTGTGCAAAATAGGGGTGGGGTAGGGGCTCAGAGTCCATATGCATGGGTGGGGAAGGGGCAGAAAGAATCCAGTTTATCCCTGTTCTCTGTGGTTGGGCCAGGAAAGCTCAGGCCAGGGCCCTAAGACCCTACCCTGATGCCCTGCACTCCCATCCAGCCTTCCATTCCTGCTCAGGAAGCACCCTGACAAGTTGATCAGTGGTGGCAGCTACCTACTCCTGTCATTAATCCTTCCCAACAATGGCTCAAGTTGAGTGGTAACAAGAGGGAAAAGGCCACATGCCTGCCCCCGCACGTCATCCATGGAGGCCCACACCCCCAGTACCAGCTTAGGTTTCCTCCGCCATCTGCATGTCAGTTCCTGAGCAGTGCTGATGCTGGCACACCAGGGCCCAGGATGCCAGCAAGCCAGGGAAGGGAGAGGAATGCAGAGGTCTTCATGCTTCCTTTACATAGCCAATCCTCAGTGGTGATGCTCCTGCTCCGATTTCCCCAGGAACTCCCTAGACCAGAGCAAGGCAATTCCATAAGCCAAACAACAGGTACCACCACCAAACCAGAGGTACCACCACCTCCATTCTCAAACAACCCATCTAAGGAGGTGGAGGCACACAGAGATCACACACAAGGGAGGGTAAGGATGCCATAGGGCCAGGCTCCTACTTGCAAAAGTGATCAATGTGAACTGGATAGCACCAGCGGAGTCAGACCCTGACACACAGGGAGAAAGGCTAAGTCTATGGGCTACTTTTCTTGTCTTAGATCTACCAACCGTCGCCCCCCCCAAAAAAAAACCAAACCACTGTAATCGAGTTGGTTCTGAGTCATGGTGACTCCCATTGGGTTTCCAAGGCTGTAGATCATTATGGAAGTAGATTGCCTTATATTCCTACTGTGGACCAGCCAGTGGGTTTGAACTGCTGACTTTCTGGTTAGCAGCCAAATGCCTTACCTATTATGCTACCAGAGCTCTTTCTTAGATCTACATTATGGTCTCAATAGTCTGTAATGCAATCCATTTATGTTGCTGTCGTTGTTGTTATGTGCCGTGGAATCGGACTCAACTCACAGCAACCCCTCCTTGGGTTTCTGAGGCAGTATCACTACAGAAGTAGATTGCCCCATCTTCCTTCCGGGCAGTGGCTGGTGGGTTTGAACCATCAGCCTTCTGGTTAGCCAGTCAAGTGCCTTAGGCACTACGCTACCAGAGCTCCCAATCCATTTATAATGGGGAAAATTACAGCTAAAAAGCAATGCCCTGTCAGCTTACTGTCCCATCAGAGAGCACTGGGGCTCCCATGTCCACGTGGCCAAACCTTCAGGAGAGAACTGGCTTTACCCTTGAAACTTCCAAAAAGAGGCAGAGAGGAGCCTCAGTTTAAGTGTAATTGTGCTGGATGTGCCTCCGTTGAACAGAGGACAGCCATAGCAGCCATTAAGCATGGTAGCAACTACTATTTTCATAGGGCTCCCATGCTGAGCACCCCATGGCAGCCTGGGGATGGGGAAATCTCACTACCTACCCCCTGACCCGGCACCAGAAAGTTACAGGATTTTGCAGAAGCCACAACTCATTGAAAGGGCTTTGTGCAGCCAAGTAGCTGAGCAGTGCTGGGGAGAAGCTCCAGCACAAAGGTTCCTCAGGCATAAGCTTGGCCTTGCGAGGGGAAAGGCAGGCAATTGGTCTATTCTAAACTCATTCCCTGCCACCATGGCCAAGGCCTCACCCATTATACATGTGTTCTGTACCTGGGTCCACAATGGGCCAGCAGGTTTCCAAACTACAACCTGGCTTGGATTATAGCCAGTGCACAGCACAGCTGCTGCTTTTCTCAAAAAGCAACTGGGAACAAGTAGGCATGTCTGCACATGCACACCTGTGTCTGTCTGGGTGTGCCTATACAGCAGGAAGCCCACCAGACCTATCTGTCATGGCTAGTCCAGGGGCTGGGAGAAGCACTTTCAAACCCCTCTGGATGAAAGTGAAAGGCTCTCACTGAGGGCCCTCCAAACATTTCAGCAGATGACCTCTGCCCCACTTTCTAGGCCATGAGCCCCCACTGCCAGGCCTTAGCTAGTGCCTTAGATAACCTGGGTCAATGAAGCCTGGATAAGAAGAGAGAATCTTACCTTAGAATCCGTGGAAGCTCAGGGCTCTTGTAAATGTACTTGTGCCTATAGCCAAGGTCTGAGTGAAAGGGAATAAACTGTACTTTGAAGTCTCGGAAGCTTCGAGATGGTGCAGCGATGTTGTAGAGCTAGGGATATGGGCAGGGAGGGGTCAGAGCCCAGAGACAAGCACCCTAAAGCAGATCCTGCTCTTTAAAAAGAGACCAGTCAGGGAATGGCACCTCCAAATTATAGCCCAGCTCCCCTGCCACATGCTATCATGTGGGAAACTTGTGGAGGGGTGCTGGCAGGAGCTCAGATGCTTCTCAACACTGTCTGCCCTCATGCTCTGCTCCCAGGTTGCCTGCTCCCTTACTTAAGTAAAGGAACCCCGTGCAAAAGGCACCCCTAAAGTGCACCAGTGTGGGAAAGGGAAGAAGGGCAAGGGCTCAGACATCTGGGTGCTCCAGTCTCAGGCCAGCCAGATGCTGACCATTCGTCCCTACCTCAGCTCCCTCCCCTCTCTGCTGAGTGCTGCATGGGTCTGAACTGTGCATTTATTAGGATGTTCATCTATATGCCCAAATCCCTATCACATGGTCATGCCTGTGAGCTCAAGAGGAGCCCATTCTGATGTAGAAGTGCTCTGTGTCATGGGCTGTATCTGAGGATAAGGCCAACCCTGCCCCTCTAGGGTTAAACATTGCCCCTGACCACTTGAAGTCCCAGGTGGTACTCTCCCCCACGCCATTCTCAGTTATAAACCTAATTGTCCTGTTGTTGTTAGGTGCCACCAAATCGGCTCTGCCTCATAGTGAACCTGTGTACAACAGAACAAAATGACTGCTCCTGTGCCATCCTCACAATTCTTGTTATGCTTGAGCCCACTGTTGCAGCCACTGTGTCAATCCATCTCATTAAGGGTCTTCCTCCTTTTCTCTGACCTTTACCAAGCATTATATCCTTCTCCAGGAACTGGTCCCTTCTGACAATATGACCAAAGTACAAGAGGTGAAGTCTGGCCATTCTTGCTTCTAAGGAGCATTCCAGCTACACTCCCTACAGAACAGATTTGTTCATTCTTCTGGCAGTCCAGGATCTATTCAATATTCTTCGTTATCACAAAATTCAAAGGCATCAAATCTTCAGTCTGCCTCATTCATTGTCCAGTTTTCACATGCACAGCAGGTGACTGCAAATACCATGGGTAGGGTTAGGACTGCCTTAGTCTTCCAAGTGACATCTTTGCTATTTAATACTTTAAGAGGTCTTTTGCAGCAGATTTGCCCAGTGCAATACGATGTCTGATTTTTTTTCTATTGTTTTGCATGAAAGTTTACAAATTCATTTTCCATTGAACAGTCCATACACATTTTGTTTCATGACATTGATTTTAATCCCCATAATGTAGTACCTCTTTTCCTACTTCCTGTGGTTATCTTTTCTCTTTGTCCTTTTCTGTGCATTCCTGCCCTCTGAGCTATCTCCCTGTGCAAATGCTGCCCCTCTGATCTCCCATGGTTGATTGTTCTAAGGAGGATACCTACCTGGGATAAATGTTTGGCTGGAATTTATGCCATGGGATTGAGTTCAATTCCAGGCCTGAAGGGTGAGTAGGGGCCATATTCAGGGGTTTTACCTGTCTCTGTCAGACCAAGAAGCCTGGTTTTTATGATTTTGAATTTTGTTCTACATTTATCTCCCAATCTATCCAGGATCTCCTATTTTGATCCTTTTCTGAGTAGTTAACAGTGGCAGCCTGGCACCATCTAGTTCTTCCGGTCTCAGGGTCATGTAGGCTGAGGTTCACGTGGTCCACTAGTCCCTTGGACTAACTGTTTCCATGCATCTTTGATTTTCTTTATTTTTCTTTGCTCCGGACAAGAAGAGACCAACTATTGCATCTTAGATGGCCACTCACAAGCTTTTAAGACCCCAGTTGCTACTCATCAAAGTAGGATGTAGAACAATGTTTTTGTGTAGTATGTTATGCCAGCTGAGCTTGACATCCCCCATTACCATGGTCCTGAGCTTGTGGGCCCAGCAACTCACTTGCTCATGGTGTTTGGTTGTGGCTAAGAAACTACCATAACTTTTCACCATTTTAGTTCTGTTATATATATGGACATTCTTGTAACACATACAAATACATATGTGGAAATATCATCTGCCAAACTTATATATGGTCATGGCAATATTATATTTTGCTTACCCATACCTGATCATTTGGCCTGCCTACCTATGTATCCACCTATACATTATTTCTTATTACTGATAATGTGGTACTCTATATGTGAAAGTGTTTGCCTTTGTTGTTTGTACCTCTTGTGCACTTCTCCATGTCTTCCTTTTCCTTAGTGTTATTGTGCTGGTCATTTGCTTTTGGTATAAGGCCTTTCCCTTCACCCAAATCAATGCTTCACTCTTACCTATCTAGCAATTTTCTCTCCACTCCTCTTCTATCCCTGGTAACCAACAAAGAAAGTTTCCTTCTATGTGTAAACCTTTCCTTGACTTTTTATAATAGTGGACTCATACAATATTTGTCCATCTGTAATTAACTTATTTAACTCAGCATAATGTTCTCCAAGTTATGAGGTGTTTCACTGATTCTTCATTGTTCTTTAGTGTGAACAGTATTCTGTTGTGTGTATGTACCGTAGTTTATCTATTCATATGTTGATTGTCACTTAGGTTGTTTCCATCTCTTTGCTATTGTGAACAGTGCTGCAATGAACATGGATGTACATATTTCAGTGTCTGATTTCTTGACTGCTGCTTCCATGAGTGTTGAGTATGGATCCAAGTAAAATGAAATCTTTGGTAACTTTAATCTTTTCTTCATTTATTGTAATGTTGCTTATTTGTCCAGTTGTGAGGAATTTTATGTTGAGCTGTAATCCATACTGATGACTATAGTTTTTCGATCTCCCTGTGTCCTGGGAAAATATACTTCTGGCAGCAAAGTTTTAGCAGATTCAGCAAAGCAAAGGCTAGGCCCACAGACTTCCCTGTCAGTTTGTCGTACTGTGATGGCTTCCATGTTGCTGTGAGGCTGGAGGCTATGCCACTGGTTTTTCAAATACCAGCAGGGTCACTCATGCTGGATAGGTTACAGTGGAGCTTCCAAACTAAGATAGACTGGAAGAAGGAAGGAGCCATCTACTTCTCAAAGAACTGGCCAGTGAACACCTTACAAATAGCAGTGAAACACTGTCTATTACTGGAAAACTTTATGAATAGCCCTAAAACATTATCTGATATAGTGCTGGAAGATAAGTCCCTCAAGTCAGAAGGCACTCAAAATACAACGGGGGGAAGAGCTGCCTCCTCAAAGTAGTTGTTGTTGTTGTTATGTGCTGTCGAGTCAGCCCCGACTCATAGCGACCCCTCCTTGGGTTTCCGAGGCAGTATCACTACAGAAGTAGGATTGCCCAACCTTCCTTCTGAGGAGTGACTGGTGGGTTTGAACCGCCAGCCTTCTGGTTAGCAGTCAAGTGCTTTAGCCACTATGCTACCAGAGCTCCTCCTCAAAGTAGAGTGGACCTTAATGACATGGATTTCCATTTGCTGATGTGGCACGACTCAAAATGGGAAGAAACAGCTGCAAACATTCATTATAATGGAAACATGGAATATACAAAGTATGAATGTAGGGAAACTGGAAGTTGTAAAAAATGAAATGGAAGGCATAAATATTGATATCCTAGGCATTGGTGAGCTGAAATGGACTAGTATTGGCCATTTTGAATCAGACAATTATATGATCTACTATGCCAGAAATGACAAATTGAAGAGGAATAGTGTTGTGTTCATCATCACAAAGAATGTTTCAAGAGCTTTCCTGAAGTACAGTGGTGTCAGTGATAGGATAATATCCATATGCCTACAAAGAAGACCAGTTAACATTACTATTCAAATTTATGCACCAACCACTAAAGCCAAAGACAAGGAAATCAAAGGTTTTTACCAACTACTGCAGTCTGAAACTGACCAAATATGCAATCAAGATGTATTGCTATTACTGGTGACTGGAATGCAAAAGTTGGAAACAAAGAAGAATCACTAGTAGTTGAAAAATATGGCCTTGGTAATAGAAATGACACTGGAGATCACATGACAGAATTTTGCAAGACCAATGACTTACTCATTACAAATACCTTTTTCAACAACATAAACCGCAGCCATACACATGGACCTCACCAGATGGAATTCACAGGAATGAGATCGACTATATCTGTGGAAAGAGGTGATGGAGAAGCTCAGTATCTTCAGCCAAAACAAGGCAAGAAGCTGATTGTGGAACAGACCATCAACTGCTCATATGCAAGTTCAAGCTGAAGCTGAAGAAAATTAAAACAAGTCCATGAGAGCCAAAATATGACCTTATGATTATATCTCACCTGAATTTAAAGACCATCTGAAAAACAGATTTGACGTACTGAACACCAGTGACTGAAAACTGGAACAATAAGCAGCATCATGATAAATAGAGAAAAGATTGAAGTTGTCAAAGATTTTATATTACTTGGATCCACAGTTAACATCCATGGAGGCACCAGTCAAGAAAACAGATGTTGTATTGCACTGGTAAATCTGCTGCAAAAAACCTCTTTAAAGTGTTAAAGAGCAAAGATGTCACTTTGAACACTAAAGTGTGCCCTAGCCATGGTATTTTCAATCACCTCATATACATGTAAAAACTGG